GAAAGTAAATTAGTGGTTGGCAGAGGCTGGGGTCAGGGTAGGAGGTGCTGGTGGGGAGGAATAGTGAGTGACTGCTAATGGGTATGGGGTTTCTTTAAGTGAAGAAAGATACTTGTTAAAAAAAAAAAAAAAGGAGATGAACTAAGTTTTGTTTCTTGTTTTTATGCCCTGTTTGGCGAGAGAGTGTGTACCTTTAAACAGTTTTCATAAATTTTGAAATGATGGGAAAAATAAATTTTTAGAACATGGTTGGGAGGAAAACCGAATTTAGAAAAATGTTAATATATAGTCATTTTTTGCTAGTGGGAGATTTTCTATAACTTTTTAAATTTTAGGAACAAAATATATGTAATCCAATTGCTTTTAAAAATCATAATTTTTTTATGATTCAATATGGTTTATTCAGAAAATTACAAAATTTCTAATAATGAATTAATCATAGAAGCATTTGGAAGTGCGTATTAAATTTGGTAGTGCTTGAAAATTCATGCGTCCTTCTCCCATACATTGTGGAAATGCTTCCATATGTTATTCACCATTTGGCGGAAGAAGAAAAATCCAATTCATTTGCTAGCTTGAGTATAAACATTAAACTAATTCCATGTAAATCTAGTGACATTGTTTGCCTCACTGTAATTCTGAAGCAACTTGGGCTACAATGCTTAGAGTAGGTGATTTTACCACACAACATCAAGTGAGGGGATATTCTGTTATGTTTTATTTAGGTTTTGAAGATATGCTATTGATAGATCATGAATAGATCATGACAGGAACCTGTGGTATTATACCAACACGTGTTAATAGTTTAAAAGTCACAGACTCAGTAGGAGGTGAGTTTCTCCTTCCAACCTCAGAAGCATTGGATTTGGTCTGTCCTGAACTTTCTGAGCAAAGTAGATAGTTTTGCTTATTTTTTGTATTTCTTAGAATAAATGGACAAGGCCTGTACTTTTCTGTTTTAAAACCTTGTCTGGATGTCCAGTGTAACTGTACCAACCTTTAATTTGTAAGGTCAGTGAGAAGCTGCTGTAAGGTCTAAGAAGACTGAACAAAACACAGTCCACCTACTCATACCACACCAGACATGGATTTTGCTTTTGTATGTTAGAATTGTATTACTTGTTTAAAAGTAGAAACTTGGTTTAGGGGAAGAGGAATTCTATTTGAGAGCGAAATGCCATAGAATTCTTATCTCTGCTTGATCCTTCTATGAATTATTTACCTTAACAATTTTCAGCTCTTTACTACTTTTATAAGCACGTTTATATTGTCGAAGGTCTAGTAACTGTACCTTTGGATGCCTTGTTCAGAAAATCATGTTACTTTTAATTATTTAGGTTTGTAAGAAGTATCTTTTACTACTTAAGGTGTAGCATTTTCTGGTCTTCAAAGGAGCCCTTGCTGATGGTTCTACTGCTGGAGAGCACATTTGTGGTTCCCTGGGGACAGCATCAAAGAATCCAACAGCAGCTGTATCAACAGAGATGTGCTTGTACATTGTTGTGATTTAAAAAGTACTTTGAGGATTGGGCATTTTGCAACAAAATACAAGCTTTGTTGTCGGGAATAGTAAGGGATTTGGCAAAATTATTTCAAAAAGAAAAGAATTTTGCACTAAAAAGTGAACAGTTCTAATTCTTCATTCATCTAGTAAAATAATTTCATCTCAGTAAGTAGTGTTTTTAGTCCCTCATTATTTGATACATTTGACCGTTTAAATATATGGTATTTATTCACCAAAGATGCCATTAAATTTTCTTTGTTTCATGGTTACTAACAGCCTGCCTTGTACATTTTGGCCAGAAGAGAATAGATAAACCCCAGTGTTTATCAGCTATAGACCTGAACTGTCTCTCAACAGTAGACCTGAAATCTTTTTCTCTACCTCTCCCTTCCAACACTTCGGTGACCATATAGCAAAATAACTAAGTGTTTCTTGTGTGGTCACTAGTTATCTTCTGTTCATATGAATTTGTAGTAGCTTTGTCAAGGAACCTTTCAAATTCAACGAGTACTTTTCTGTTGAGTATGATCCTAAGTGACTACATTTTCATTTAAATCCTTTCCCTTAGGAGAGCAACATTTTATGAAATATATACATTTAAACTAATATTCTTAGATGCCTATCAATGGGGAGATTTTCATTGTCTTATTGAAAAAAATGAAGAGTGGGAGTAATTTATTTTCTTCAGAACCACAAAAATGGGACAAAAATCCTGATTTCCTGATCCTAGTGAGATGAACTGCCTTTTAGACTGCTTCAAGGAATGTTATAAATTGTCCAGGTTATGAAGCTCTTAAAAATTTGTACAGATTTTCTTTGGCCAGGCGCGGTGGCTGAAGCCTGTAATCCCAGCACTTTGGGAGGCCGAGGCGGACGGATCACGAGGTCAGGAGATCGAGACCATCCTGGCAAACACGGTGAAACCCTGTCTCTACTAAAAAAATACAAAAAACTAGCCAGGCGAGGTGGCGGGCGCCTGTAGTCCCAGCTACTCGGGAGGCTGAGGCAGGAGAATGGCGTAAACCCTGGAGGCGGAGCTTGCAGTGAGCTGAGATCTGGCCACTGCACTCCAGCCTGGGCGACAGAGCAAGACTCCGTCTCAAAAATATATATATATTTTAAAAAAAAAAATTTTGTACAGATTTTTAATGTGTGCTGAAATCGTAAACAGTGACTGAAGCCTCAGTTTTTGAAAATTCCTAAGGAATTGGGTGATTTTTTGTTTTTTTGTTTTGTTTTGTTTTGTTTTGTTTTTGAGAGGGAGTCTCGCTGTGTTACCCAGGCTGGAGTGCAGTAGCACAATCTCGGCTCACTGCAGCCTCTGCCTCCCGGGTTCAAGCAGTTGTCTGCCTCAGCCTGCCAAGTAACTGGGATTAAAGGCACCTGCCACCACGCCCGGCTACTTTTTTGTGTTTTTAGTAGAGATAGGGTTTCATCTTCTTGGCCAGGCTGGTCTTGAACTCCTGACCTTGTGATCCACCCACCTTGGCCTCCCAAAGTGCTGGGATTACTGGCGTGAGCCACTGCACTCAGCCAGAATTGATAATTTTACTGGTTATTTTCTGGCTAGAAAACAATGTATACCTTTGTAAAAGTATTCTTTTAATTATTTTTACCTTATACAAATGAAATTAAATTCATACTTTTCTCCTAAACATAGTAGACTGAACAAAACTGCTTGGTAATTTACTTGATGATTGTTGCAGGAAGTCAGGGACCCCGAACAGAGGGACCTGCTGGAGCCACAGCAGAGGAATATAAATTGTGAAGATTTCATGGACATTTATCAGTTCCCAAATAATACTTTTATAATTTCTTTTGCCTATCTTACTTTAATCTCTTAATCCTGTTTTCTTCATAACCTGAGGATGTACGTCACCTCAGGACCACTATGACAATTGTGTTAACTGTACAAATTGATTGTAAAATGTGTGTTTGAACGATATGAAATCAGTGCTACTTGAAAAAGAACAGAATAACAGCGATTTTTAGGGAAAAAGGGAAAACAACCATAAGGTCTGACTGCCTGCGGGGTCAGGCAAAAAGAGCCATATTTTTCTTCTTGCAGAGAACCTATAAACAGACGTGCAAATAGGGAAGATATCACTAAATTCTTTTCCTAGCAAGGAATATTGATATTAATACTCTGGGAAAGGAATTCATTCCTGGGGGGAGGTCTATAAACGGCTGCTGTGGGAATGTCTGTCCTATGCGGTTGAGATAAGAACTGAGATGCACCCTGTTCTCCTGCAGTACCCTCAGGCTTACTAGGATTGGGAAACTCCATCCTGGTAAATGTTTGGTCAGACCGGTTCTCTGCTCTTGAACCTTGTTTCTTCTGTTAAGATGTTTATCAAGACAATATGTGCACCGCTGAACATAGATATCAGGAGTTCTGCCTTTTGCCTTCAGAAGCATGTGATCTTTGTTCTGCTTTTTGCCCTTTGAAGCATGTGATATTTGTGACCTACTCCCTGTTCATACACCCCCTCCCCTTTTGAAATCCTTAATAAAAACCTGCTAGTTTTGAGACTCTGGTGGGCATCATGGTCCTACTGATGTGTGATGTCACCCCTGGTGGCCCAACTGTGAAATTCCTCTCTTTGTACTCTTTTTATTTCTCAGCCAGCCAACACTTATGGAAAATAGAAAGAACCTATGTTGAAATACTGGGGACAGATTCCCCGATAGATGATGTGATATTGTTCTTTTTCTTTAATATACCAATAGATCGTTTTTCCCCTCTAACATTTATTTAATACTTATTTTAAGCTAGGCACTGCTCTAGGCGTGATACTGATATAGTCATTTACTAAATAGTCTCAGGCTGCAGTGTTTTGAATTCTTGACTGAATTGAGCATAATGTTAAGAACATGAATTCAGGAACCAGACTGTTAAAATTTGAATGCTGGCTCTACTGCTAATATGACATGTGACCATAATATGACATGTGACCATATACCATAATACTGGTAAACACCTTGAAAGAATAGTAACTTTTTAATACCCATAAAGTTATTTCTTCAGTTGTCCCCTAAATGTCTATAACCCTTCTTTGCCTCCATTTTTGCATCTGTATGTGGGGTCAGTAATGTAACCTACCTCAGAGGGATTGTTATAAGGATTAAAAAGAACACATAAAGTGTTTGAAATAATGCCCCACACATAGTTGCTATGTAAAGTCATTACCACTGCTAGGAACACTAATATTACTATGACTTCACAGTGCTGTCAGCCAGCTTACCCCATCTCCTCTTTAAATTAATCTAGGAAAAGACAACCAAACTGGTTAGAACTAAGGGTAAAATGAGAGTAAATTGACTATATGAAGCCTGAGATTTCCCAGCAAGAAAACATGTTGTGTATGCCTTGGCATTACATTTTGGCTGCTGAGAACTTTTGTGTCTTAGACAAGCCTTTAATAGGCCATGCTTATAAATGAATCTTAAATAAGAGAAGTAAAGTTTATTTTAATAAATAGGACTTGTTTTTTAGGGAAAAAGATCTTGAAGAAGCTCTGGAAGCAGGAGGTTGTGATCTTGAAACTTTGAGAAATATAATTCAAGGAAGACCACTGCCTGCTGATCTGAGGGCCAAAGTTTGGAAGGTAACTAGAAACTAAAATGAATAAAATGTAATCACTGAAGAATATTTTTAAAAGTTAGTTGCTTCAGCTGTCTTAGTTGCAGAAAACTTTATTATCTTATGAGCATGCCACATCTAGAAGATTTATCAAACAGTAGCTTATTAAAATGTGTGTTTCTGTAGTGTTTGGTATATTTAACAATAATGGTTTAGATTTTGGAGTGTAATATATGCTTTTGTAGCCATTAGAAATGGTGTTCATGGGGCCAGGAGCAATGGCGCATGCTGTAATCCCAACACTTTGGGAGGCTGAGGCGGGCGGATCCCTTGAGGTCAGGAATTCAAGGCCCTCCTGGCCAACATGGTGAAATCCCGTCTCTACAAAGAGGCTGAGACAGGAGAATCACTTGAACCCAGGAGGCGAGGCTACGGTGAGCTGAGATAGCGCCATTGCACTCCAGCCTGAGTGACAAAGTGAGACTCCATCTCAAAACAAAGGAAAAGAAGTAGTATTTATGAAAATTGTTTTGTGAAACAAGATACAATCAGTGAGTAAAATAGGATGTATATTTGCAGATACAGAGTGATCATAGCAGTGTTAAAAAAAAAAAAAAGAAAGTATGCCTCTGGCTGTTGGGGTTATAGGAAATTTTCCCTTTGTTTTCCTCTATTCAGCTATTCACTAGTGCGTGTGTATTATTATTTTTTAAAATTTTGAATTAAGATGTTGTTATGATTACAAAAGAAATACATGTATTTGTGGAAACATATATGACATAACAACCACAAAGGATAAAATAAAAATCTGTTATCTACCACCTGTAGGTAAAACACATAAGGTCTTGGTGCTTACCTTTTTGCCCTATGCATATACGTAACAGAAATGGAATTAAAACTGTACATAGCATTCTGAGCATTTTATTATAGAAGTTTAAATACATGCAAAAGCGTAGAACTTGTATAATGAACTCCCATGTGCCCATAACCCAGCTTTAACTGGTATCAACCTTTAGCCAATGTTGTTTGATTAGTATCCTCATCCTTTCCTCCACACCTGACTCAGTGGACTGTTTTAAAGCAAATCCTTGCTAGCATACTAAAAGTCTGAAACATTTAAAAGAATGGTAATTCCTGGCCGGGTGCAGTGGCTCACGCCTATAATCCCAGCACTTTGGGAGGCTGAGGTGGGTGGATCACCTGAGGTTAGGAGTTTGAGATCAGCCTGGCCAACATGGTGAATCCTCATCTCTACTAAAAATACAACAGTGAACTGGGTGTGGTGGCGGGTGCCTGTAGTACCAACTATTTGGGAGGCTGAGGCGGGAGAATCGCTTGAACCCGGGAGGCAGAGAGGTTGCAGTGAGCCGAGATCATGCCACTATGCTCCAGCCTGAGCAACAGTGTGAGGCTCAGTTGCAAAAAAAAAAACACTGGTAATTCCTTAACATCATAAGATAATTTCTTCAGTTGTCTCATACATGTGTTTTTATAGGTGATTTGTCTAAATTTGAATTCTAGTAGGCCTACCTGTTGCATTTGGATATGTCACTTAAGATTCTTTAAATCCACACTGTTTATTTTACATTTTTTAAAAAACCTTACAAAACAGCAAAAACATTTTCTCAATTTATTAAATATTCTGTATAATTTTAAAATATACATGGCACAGATGTACTTTTTCTTTGCCAGTACATTCTGTTGTTTTTACATTTAAAAAAAACAGGAAAGATGATTGCTTGTGTAAATTTACATATCTAAATATATAAATATTTTGGGTAATTTATTGTATTCCCTAAATCAACATGAAGAAATATCTAATGTAGGAGGATTTAAAATAATTCTGCTGGTTGTGACATGGCTAAATACTCAGCATTTGGTGGAGTATAGATACCTTAATTGTAATCTTTATTATTATTTTTAAATTCAGGCCTTTAATTTTTACAGCATATTTTCCAAGAATGAGGAATAACATATGAAGCTAGTCGCTTTTTAAATCTTTCTTCCAGATTGCTCTGAATGTTGCAGGAAAGGGTGATAGTTTGGCATCATGGGATGGTACTTTAGACTTGCCAGAACAGAACACTATTCACAAAGATTGCCTGCAGTTTATTGGTAAGTTTAATAATCATTTTCAAGCAGAGTTAAATTTTGGAAATAATTTTTGGGTTGAGGAATCACTCTTCAGAATTATTTTCTTATAATTTCAGAATATGAAAAAGGCTTGTAAATAGCTTTAGAACTTTTCTTTTGAAATTCTTATGAAGTATTGTCTATTGATTTTAAGGGAGCCTAGTTTTGACTGGGTGCAGTGGCTCACGCCTGTAATCCCAGAACTTTAGGGGGCCAAGGTGGACAAATCATTTGAGGTCAAGAGTTCGAAACCAGCCTGGCCAACATGGCAAAACCCTGTCTCTACTAAAAAATACAAAAATTAGCCAGGTGTGGTGGTGGGCACCTGTAGTCCCAGCTACTTGGGAGGCTGAGGCAGGAGAATCGCTTGAACACAGCAGGCAAAGGTTGCAGTGAGCTGAGATCGCGCCATTGCACTCCATCCTGGGCACAGAGTGAGACTCTGTCTCAAAAAAACAAACACAATAACCTAGTTTTTACTGTTTCCTTTGCATTATATGTTAGATTTTTCGTGTACATTTATGGGTTTGTTGTAGTCTTGACTTTGATTTTTGTATAAAGATCTGTATGATTGTATATAGCCCTCAAATTAAAGGGGAGCTTTGTTGCAAAAGTTTATCTATAAATCATAGTTTGTGGTCTGCTATAGAGAAACAATTATAAATTGTGATTGAATAGGTTTCCAATCACCCACAACATCTATTTCAATTCAGAATGTAGATCAATTTAGTTTATTCTTTTAAATTCATCTCTAGTGCTTTGTTGTATTTTTGTTTCTCTTTCCGTCATATTTTAGTTAAATTATTGACTTGATAGGCCTATGTGTGGTAAGCACACCAGAAACATTATTCGTGGTGTGGACAAAAGAAAGAGAATTTGGTAGTGGAGAATGAATTCCTTTCCCTCTTCTTGCCAGAGTTATAGCAACAGCTGCCCATCATGGGGTAGGTGATCATCTGTTTAGAAAACAGTTTTGCTTCCCAGGAATACAGGCTATGCCTATCTTTGCCTATCCCTTTAATTCAGACTGGCCATTCTTATGTTTGACATATATATAGGTCACGTATTACTGAATGCTAATGTTTAGTAAATACTGATTGTATAGAAGTCTTCTGTTTCTTTCCCTTCTCTCTCAATGGACTAGGTAAAGAAAACATGCTTAAGTGAAACTGTTATTCTTAATTTTCTTTAAACAACTGTCTTAAAGTTAAAAGACTGTTAGAAGGCCGGGCGCAGTGGCTCATGTCTGTAATCCCAGCACTTCGGGAGGCCAAGGCGGGCAGATCACCTGAGGTCAGGAGACCAGCCTGGCCAACATGGTGAAACCCTGTCTCTACTAAAAGTACAAAAATTAGCTGGGTGTGGTGGTGGTTGCCTGTAATCCCAGCTACTTGAGAGGCTAAGGCAGGAGAATCACTTGAAACGGAGGTGGAGGTTGCAGTGAGCCAAGATCGTGCCATTGCGCTCAGCCTGGGTGACGAGCTAAACTCTGTCTCAAAAAAAAAAAAGGGGGCGGGGAGCTGTTATAAAGAGTTTTGACTATGTGTTTTCCTTGGGTTTTGGATCAGTGAACCAATGATTGTTAAATGTAAGGGAAAATATACTTTCATGTAGTTTCACTTTGTCTTTCTCTAAATGCACTAACATAGTATTATATATTTGTAAACAAGTGTTATGTCCAATAACAGCCTCTAACAGGCCCTGGGTAACTTTATTTTTAACATTTATTTTCTAGACCAGCTTTCAGTGCCAGAGGAGAAGGCAACAGAATTACTTTTGGATATTGAATCTGTAATTACCTTTTATTGTAAATCACGTAACATTAAATATAGCACATCCCTTAGCTGGATACATCTACTCAAACCATTGGTGCATCTTCAACTGCCACGCAGCGATTTATACAACTGCTTTTATGCCATAATGAATAAGTACATTCCCAGGTAAAATATGATTTAGTTATTGTAGTTTTTTAAAGTGAATACAGGTCTGGTTTGCCTTGAGCTAAAGTTGCTACATTTACTTTGGCGGTAAAGTAAAAGGTTCAAATAATTTTGAAGGTTGTTTGAGCCATAATTATTATTTTATTTTTGTGGTTATAAACGTTTTTTAAAAGATTCTTTAGTTAAAAATGTATACTTCTGAAACAGTAGTTATACTGGGGTTGGAGTTGGGGAGGAAGTGGGGAGATCTAGGTCAAAAGGATACAAAATAGCAAACAGGTGTGATGAACAAGTTGAAAGACCTAATGTACAATGTGGGGACTCTAGTTAATAATAGTGTGTTATATTGAAGATTTTTGCTAAATAAGTAGATTATAACTGCTTTTGCCACAGAGGGGAAAGTGGGAATGTGAGATGATAGGTACATTATTTTGTTCCACAGTAGTAACCATTTACTATGTATGTGTTTTTTATGACATGCTGTATTATACACAGAAATTTACTTTTAAAAAAGAATTTAAAAATTAAAAATTTCTAGAGTTTAGATATATATAATTCTTCCAGTTTATTTGGTGGTATTCCTATTTTAATTTATTTGCCTATAAAATAAAAACATTACAGTGTCCAAGTGAAAAGTAAAATTTTGGGGGTGCTACCTTATTGAGCTTGGAAGGAAATCCTAGAAATATAGGCATTGAACAAGTAAATTGAAGTATGCTAAATGTTAGAAAGGTGAAATATAGAGCGCTATGGGAATGTGTAATGGGAGCGACCTAACTTACCCTGGAGGTCACGGGTGACTTTCCCATGGTAAGTGGCATTTAAGTTGAGACCAGACAGATGTGCAGGTGGTTGTGATGGGGATTGTAGTGGGGGTCATGGTGGCTCATGAGGCCAGAAAGAATTGTTGTAGTTCCCAGTGCAATAGATCAGATAGTTAGAATTTTAGTACCAAAAGAGACTGTAGACGTAGTCTAGACTAGTGGCTTGGCTGTACAACCTTGAATGCACATTAGAACTATTGGGGGAGCTCTTAAAAATCCTAATGACTATTTGCATACATGAGTAATGAAATCAAAATCTCTTGATGATGGGACCTAGGCATCAGTTTGTTCAGAGCTAACTAATTTCAGCATGTAGCCAAGGTAGAGAACCACTGATGTGGACCTTGATAGTTAACTGACTCTTATTTTTTACTACTTTCTATGTGATATCACACTGTACGAGGTATAAGTGTTTTGTATGGTTCTCTACCCTGGTTGCTTGTTAGAATCAACTGAGGCACTTTTTCTTTTTTTAAATAACTACTTTATTGAGATGTCATTTACATTCCTTAAAATTCACCATTTCAATATGTACAATTCACTGGTTTTAATTATAGTCACAGAGTTGTACAGCCATAACTACAACCAATTTTAGAACATGTTATCACCCCAGAAAGAAGGCCCATACCCATTAGTAGTCAACTCTCCACTTTCCCCCAAAATGGGAATGATCGGTATGATTCTCCATATAAGGAATCATACCTTATATGTTTTTTGTAACTGCCTTTAATGTTTAGCATTATGCTTTCTAGGTTCATATTGTACCATATCATATTTCATTTATTTGCCAAATAATTTTTTATTGTATGCATATACCACATTTTATTTACCTGTTCATCAGTTGATGGATATTTGGATTATTTTCACTTTTTTACTGTTAGGAGTATGAAGTTGTGAACATTCACATACAAGTTGTTGTATAGATGTGTATTTTCACTTTTCTGGGATATGTGCCTACAAGGGGAATTGCTGGACCATGTGGTAATTATGTTTAACCTTTTCTGGAATTGCCGGATTTTTCCATAGCAGCTGCATCATATGTTCTCACCAACAGTCAGTGGAGATCCCAGTTTCTCCACATCCTCGTGAACATTTGTCTTTTTGATTATAGCCCATCCTAGTGAGTGTGAAGTGATATCTCATTATGGTTGTTGACTTGCATTTCCCTAATGGCTAATGATGCTGAGCATCTTTTTATGTGTTTATTGGCAATTTGTATTTTTTCTTTGGGGAAATGACTCTTCACCCAAAGTACTTTTAAAACATACTGGTCCCTAGAGGTTTTTTTGTTTGTTTTTGTTTTTGTTTTTTTCCCAATAAATATTTTGTACTTCTATTTTTCCCCAATAAGCCTTTAGAGTTTCAAATATAAGTGGACTGCAAAGAGCGTTGGTATAGATATTTTTAAATCTCCCCAGGTGATTCTGATATGTACCAGGATGGAGAATCTCTGTGCTACTTGAAGCCATCCTGCTTTATGTAAGGAAAACAGACTTAAAGATACCAGAAGACAAGGCTAAGGTCATGGCAGAGCCAAGACTCGAATTCATATTTAGGGATCATTCTGTTGTACTAGGTCTCTCAACTGCCTATATTTTAGCACTTCTCATGGCCACCTCTTGCTCTAACAGAGCTAGCAATAGCAAGATACAAGATGTCCCAGCTTTGCCTCTAGAGAATGGTGGTGATGGTAGTTAGGACTAGAGGGGAAAGACTTTTGCATTGTGCTTTGTAACATACTGTTATCAGGTTCTCTAGTTATTGCTTCTATGACTTCCATATGGACCAGCCCTCTAGCCAGGATCAGCATTAATAGCCCTGGAAAGAACCCTGAGCCCCACAGAATGCTGCTAGAACTCCATTGTAACATATCTTCTTCTTCTTTTTTTTTTTTTTCCTTTGAGACAGAGTCTCACTTTGTCGTCCAAGCTGGAGCACAGTGGCACAATCTCAGCCCACTGCAATCTCTGCCTCCTGGATTCAAGCGATTCTCATACCTCAGCCTCCTGAGTAGCTGGAATCACAGACGTGTGCCACTACACCTGGCTAATTTTTGTGTTTTTAGTAGAGATGGGGTTTCACCATTGGCCAGGCTGGTCTCGAACTTCTGACCTCAAGGGATCCGCCCAACTCGGCCTCCCAAAGTGCTGGGATTACAGGCATGAGCCACCCCTCCCGACCTAACATATCTTCTTCTTTATTTATGTATTTATTTATTTAGATGGAGTCTCGCTCTGTTGCCAGGATGGCATGCAGTGGCGTGATCTTGACTTACTGCAACCTCAGCCTCCCGGGTTCAAGCGATTCTCCTGCTTCAGCCCTCAAGTAGTTGGAATCACAGGCATGTGTCACCACACCCGACTAATTTTTGTGTTTTTAGTAGAGGTGGGGTTTTACCATTTGCCAAACTGGTCTCAAACTTCTGACCTCAAGTGATCTGCCCGCCTCAGCCTCCCAAAGTGCTGAGATTACAGGCGCGAGCCACTGCACCCGGCCTTTTTTTCTTCTTTTTTTGAGACAGGGTCTCACTCTGTCATCCATACTGGAGTGCAGTGGCACAATCTCGACTCACTGCAACCTCCATCTCTTAGGCTCAAGCAGTTCTCCTGCTTCAGCCTCCTAAGTATCTGGGTTTACAGGTGCGTGCCACTATCGCGTGGCTAATTTTTGTATTTTTAGTAGAGAGTGGGTTTTACCATTACCATATCTTCTTATTACAGATTCACATATAAGATGGCAGAATCCCGTCAAGCACAGTGCCTTGTAGTTGAGAGCAGCTTTGCAGTGTACAGCTGTTAAATGAATAGATGCTGTTGCAATGGCTGACTCCCAGAGATGCCTCACTGTTTCCGAAGACAAGATCATGAACTAGGCAGTTGTTTATCTAGTGTATGCGCCTGCTCACTGTGTATTCTGCCTTAGCATTCTTTTGCCTTGTATTTATACAGTAGGGTAAGTATTAAGGCTAAGAAGGAGGTAATCTTGCCAGTATGAATCTAGTTCTGTGTCTGGGCACCTGAATTGCCAGCCTGGGGCCTTATCTGTAAAACTTTCTTCCACCTACAGTATCAGAAAGTGATAGATTGAGAGTCATACAAATCCTGGCATTGACCTCACATCTTAGATTTTAGAAATTATTTTTTATTCTCTTTAAACTACATTGTAAGACTTTTTTTTTTTTTTGCTTTTTTGATACAAGATCTTCCTGTGTTGTCCAGGCTGGTCTTGAAAACCTGGTCTCAAGTGATCCTCCCTCCTCAGCCTCCTGAGTAGCTGGGACTATACGTGCATGCCACTCTGCCCTGCTTAAGACACTCCTTATTGGCTGGGCACGGTGGCTCACGCCTGTAATCCCAGCACTTTGGGAGGCCGAGGCAGGCAGATCACGAGGTCAGGAGATGGAAACCATCCTGGCTAACACAGGGAAACCCCGTCTCTACTAAAAATACAAAAAATTAGCCAGACGTGGTGGCGGGCACCTGTAGTCCCAGCTACTTGGGAGGCTGAAGCTGGAGAATGGCGTGAACCTGGGAGGCAAAGCTTGCAGTGAGCCGAGATCACGCCACTGCACTCTAGCCTGGACGACAGAGTAAGACTCTGTCTCAGAAAAGAAAAAAAAGAAAAAATAAACATTCCTTATTAATGCTGTCATGTTAAAACCGTGAGGCCACTGCCCTCCAGCCTGGGCGACAGAGCGAGACTCTGTCTCAAAAAAGAAAAAAAAAAAACACTCTTTATTAATGCTGTCAGGTTAAAACTGTGAGGCCAGGTGCAGTGACTCACACCTGTAATCCCAGCACTTTTGGAGGCCAGGACAGGCAGATCACTTGACCCCAGGAGTTTGAGACCAGCTGAGGCAACATAGTGAGACCCTGACTCTACAAAAAAAAATTTTTAATTAGCCAGGCATGGGAGTGTGCACCTCCTTCAGGTCGAGGCTGAAGTGAGCCATGATCCTGCCACTGCACTCCAGCTTGGGCAACAGTGAGACCCTGTATTTAAAAAAAAAAAAATTAAAACATTTTTAAAACCTGTGTCATTCATTTCATTGACTTTTTTACATGAGGCCTTTTACTTCATTTTCTTTACAGTTTGCTTTTTTAGAGATGGTACCCCTACAAAAATACCACTTGTTGAAATACCAGCTTAGATATGGAAGGGGGCAGTATGGCATAATGACTTAATGTCCAATTTCTGTGTACAGGTCTTAGCTCCATCACTTCATAGCTATTTTACCTTCAGTGAGCTGAAGTGAGCTATTTTACCTTCAGTTGAGCCTCAGTTTTCTCATCTGTAAATTGGGTGTAGATTTCATAGGTTTGTTTGATAAAATGTAAGATAAAATGAAATAACTTTGTAAAATGCTTATTACATTGTCTGGCACATGGTATTTCCTCAATAAATAGTTGACTTTTATTATGATGACCTGTGCTTTGACCTGTTTGTAAGTTTTTGCTGATTCATTAGATACATTCTCACCTCCTTCCCTTGTAATAGTAGAATGTATTTCAGTACAAATGCTGAATGGAGTAAATTTATAGAACTGAGGAATTAGTGAAGCCTACTGGTCTACATGAAGATTGAGTTAGTCAGCACCTTGTTAACAGTAACGCCATACTTTAACCAAACTGTCTGGAAGTAACTGTGTTTGCAGTATTGCTTTTTGTTTTTAACTGTATGGGTTAAAAAGTAACTACCTCTGACCCAGCGTGGTGGCTCATGCCTATAATCCCAGCAATTTGGGAGGCCAAGGAGGAAGGATCGCTTGAGCCCAGGAGTTCGAGACCAGCCTGGGCAACATGAAGAAACCCTGTCTCTACCAAAACTACAAAAATCAACTGGGCATGGTGGCATGTACCTGTAGTCCTAGCTGCGTGGGAGGCTGAGGTGGGAGGGTGGTTTGAGCCCAGGAGGCAAAGAGGTTGCAGTGAGCCGAGATCACGCCATTGCACTCCAACCTGAGCAACAGAGCCAGACCCTCTCTTAAAAAAACAAACAAAAAACTCCCTCAAAAAACATGTAATTATCTCCCTATATCCAGTAAGATCCACTACCAAAAATCTAGTATCTTTTAAGAGATTTTTTCCATGAAGTATTCTGTTTGAGTTATCACAAACATGGACACAAGAAAATGAACTAATGTGAATGTAATAGTATCTTAACAAATCCTCTGGGCTTGAAAGATTTTCTAAGAGTGCTACTTATGTGGGAGTTAGAAGATAAGGCTTCTGAATTCGAGATCAGGGACTGAGCATGGAAGGAGGAAGTAACTGTGCTTCCTGAGGAGTGAGCCTAGTTCATGGACCACATCTGGACCTGCTCCAAGGGTTTGTCATCTCTGGGCTCAGATGCTTGGGTGCCTGGGTAGAGGGACAGTACTTTTCAGATCAAGGCTGTGAGTGGCTACTGTGACCTGTGGCAGAGGAGTCGTCTTAGAGCTGAGCAGGCTGAGATGATTCCTGAGCTAATGACTAGAAACTAGGAAATCCATGACCCAAAGTTCATCTGTAGGTGCTTTGTGATTATTTCTAACATTTATTTTAGGTTTAGAGGTACGTGTGCAGGTTTGTTGTATAGGTAAATTGTGTGTTATGGCGGTCTGGTGTACAGATTATTTTACCACCCAGGCAATAAGTAGAGTACTCTTTCTACTTTTGAAGTCTCTGGCAGGAAAATGTGGCATTTGTTTTTAAAAAGGCTTTAGATAAAAATGTTAATGTACATGTTTGGTGCCTTATACTTTAAAACAACATTTAGATTCATTTTTTCCATTTTGCTCTCACAATAACTTTGAAGTAGGACAGTTATTGAACAAGATGAGTATTTTGGCACCTTCTGGAATTTGCTCTGAGGAGTTGGTACTTGGGCCACTTCAACAGTTTTTAAGGCCACTATTTCTAAAATGTTCACCTGCCCATTTCAGACTTGTACCTTTGCTAAAGGACATTTCTAATTGAGTATATAAACTGTGGCGCTAACCTGAAGCCTAGTCTTTAGAATTTCCTCTTTTTTGGCAGAAAGGAAGGACTCTCCAGATCTCCTTTTGGGATCCCAGCCTTATCAAAATAACCTAAATTTGTTTTCAGTGATCCCTGTAGTTCTCTCACTTGAGTGCTGCCTGGGTTCACCTGTGAGAATCTCCCTAGAGTGGCTTTAAATCTACTGTTTCTACAACTTTTGTCAAGTCAGGGACATTGAAAAAGGTGTTAGCAAGAGACCTCTACCTGCTACTGTCAGGTGGGCTTCCAGTGAATGCTGTGGAGGGTGTAGCAGGAAGACTGGTTACTGATGTGATTATTTCTGATCTATTAATGCAAAAAAATTTTGCTTCTTGTCTTCTAGGGATTGTTCCCAGAAAGGGAGACCATTTCATCTCTTCAGGTTGCTCATCCAATACCATGAGCCTGAGCTTTGTTCTTATCTTGATACAAAGAAAATTACTCCAGACTCCTATGCACTCAACTGGGTAATAAAGTGAAAGTAGGAACATTTAATGAAAAATAGATTTACATAAAGCTATACTTAGGTGGGTTTTTTTCCCAAGGAAGAGAAAGAAAAGTGCTAAATCTAGATCATTACTGTTTAAACCAAACGGGTAAAATTATTGGCATTTAAAAATAACTTTTTTTGCTCTTCAGTTGTGTTCAGATTATTTGATATGAAGTTTACTTTTATTGTTTTACATGTATTTGTAAATGTAACTAATATTACAACTAATTACAAGTAAATATTACAACTATTTACGTATATGTAATAAATATGAATATATACATGTAATATATGATACATGTATCAGTTAAATTGAGAACTTTGTTTAAATTGTTTTTTTTTTTTTTTTTTTTTTTTGAGACGGAGTCTTGCTCTGTAGCCCGGACTGGAGTGCAGTGACCAGATCTCGGCTCACTGCAAGCTCCGCCTCCCGGGTTTACGCCATTCTCCTGCCTCAGCCTCCGGAGTAGCTGGGACTACAGGCGCCCGCCACCTCGCCCGGCTAGTTTTTTGTATTTTTAGTAGAGACGGGGTTTCACCGTGTTAGCCAGGATGGTCTCGATCTCCTGACCTCGTGATCCGCCCGTCTCGGCCTCCCAAAGTGCTGGGATTACAGGCTTGAGCCACCGCGCTGGGCTGTTTAAATTGTTGATGGTGTGTTTAAGAATTGGTATACAGTCACGAGGAAAATAACTTAAGGTTATCAAATGGTTAATATAAAAGAATATAAAGTATAACTCAGCACTCTATCATTCTGTATTTGTATTTTCAATGGGAAGTCTTACTTTAGGTCAGTGGTCCTCAAACCTTTTGGTGTCAGGACCCTTTACACTCTTAAAATTTGTTGATAATCCATATGGATTATGTTGAGAAGAAGTTAAAACTAGACTAGGCGCAGTGGCTCATGCCTGTAATACCAGCACTTTGGGAGGCTAAGGAAGGCGGTCACTTGACGTCAGAAGTTTGAGACCAGCCTGGCCAACATGGCGAAACCCCATCTCTACTAAAAATACAAAAATTAGTCGGGTGTGGTGGCGTGTGCCTGTATTCCCAGCTACTCGGGAGGCTGAGGCAGGAGAATCACTTGAATCCGGGAGGCGGAGCTTGCAGTGAGCCGAGATCGCACCATTGCACTCTGGCTTGAGCAAAAGAGTAAGACTCTGTCTCAAAAAAAAAAAAAAAAATTTAAGGAATTTTAAATGTTTATTAATTTATTTAAAAGTAATTATAAATTTATTACATGTTGATATAAATAGCCTTTTTAAATATAAAAAACAACTATTTTCCAAAAGAAAATCAGAGTAGTGGCATTGTTTTATATTTTTGCAAATTACATTAATGTTTGGCTGTGTCAAAGATGGATTATCATATCTGCTTTTTTTTTTTTTTTTCTTTTTTCTTTTTTTGAGATAGAGTTTTGCTCTTGTCACCCAGGCTGGAGTGCAGTGGCGCGATCTTGGCTCACTGCAACCTCCACCTCCCGGGTTCTAGCAATTCGTCTGCCTCAGCCTCCCAAGTAGTTTGGATTACAGGTGCCCGCGATCATGTCCGGCTAATTTTTGTAATTTTAGTAGAAAGAGGATTTCACCATGATGGCCAGGCTGGTCTCAAACTCCTAACCTCAGGTGATCCACTTGCTTCAGCCTCCCAAAGTGCTGGGATTACAGGCGTGAGGCCACCACACCTGGCCCATATCTGCTTCTTTATTCAATCTGTGTTAATATCACATATCATGTAGCCATTGGAAAATTCTATTGTTCATTTTTGAGGGAATAAATATGAAAAAGGCAAGTAAATTCTACATATTTTTGTAACAATAGTTTTGACCTTACAGATCCTTTGTAAAGAATCCTGGGGACTTCTAGGAGGTCCTCAGACCACACTTTGAGAACTGCTCTTCTGGTTAACTTGAAGATCTTTCTAAAACAATGATTGGGTGCTAGGAGACTATATATTCATATTGTTTTATTATGTATTGCTTAACTTTTCTTCAGGAAGAATCCCCTTTCTTCCGGTTATTAACTGTGTGATCTAAGACAGCCTCTGAGCTTCAATTCCTCATCTGCAAAGTGGAAATAATAATAGTACTATACCTACTTCAGAGGTTGATAGGATGAGTTAACAGTCAGGAAATGGGTAATTGGAGAATTCTAACTGGTTTCACTTCTGGGCTCATTAAATCTCAAACCTCAGTAGCCTGTTCTTTAATTCCCTCTTGGCCACAGTCTTGTCACTTTTTTTTTTTTTTTTTTTTTTTTTTTTTTTTTTTTTTTGAGATGAGGTCTTACTCTGGTCTCTCAGTCTGCAGTGCAGTGGTACAGTCTTGGCTCACTGCAAGCTCCACCTCCTGGGCTCAAGTGATTCTCCCACCTCAGCCTCTTGAGTAGCTGGGACTACAGGCATGTGCCACCATGCTTGGCTAATATTTTAATTTTTTTGTAGAGACAGGGTCTCCCTGTATTGCCTGAGCTGATCTCGATCTCCTGGGCTCAAGCAATCCTCCCGCCCAGGCCCCAAAGTGCTGGGATTACAGGTGTGAGCCAAGCCTAGTCTTACCACTTTGAGTTAAAATGAATAAATACCCATAAAACTGTAGCTTCTCTGAGATTCATATGTTGCCACTAAATCTACTTTTATGTTTAAGAAGTGAACTATTTCTCTTAAGCATTTTAATCATTAATAGTGGTCTCTGCCTAGGAAATGCCATTTCTGATGCCAGAGCTCTGAATTACTGCTGGTAGCTGGAGGTTTGAACTGAGTGGTTTCTCTTCAGCTGATATGCCAGATAGTTTATTCTTGCTACTAGTATCATGTTGATGAAATAGAATTTGTTAAATATCAGGAGATGAAACAATTAAAGAGTAATTCCTAAACCACTGTGAGCAATGCAGTGGTAGCTGTAGTTGAGCTAAGTGAGCTTAAAGATGACTGTATATTGCTATTCTGTTTGTATGTACCTCTTCTAATCTGTGTTTGTAATCGTAATTTTTAAAGCAACCACAAAAAAACATTAGTAGCATTATGTATTTTAAAAGGCTTGTGGTCAAGTGTGATGGCAATGACATAGGCTGTGGAGTCTCAGGCTTTTTCCTATTCCCAGCACCACTCACTAGCTCTGTGAGCTTGAGAAAGGAATCCAAGTTCCTCACCTGAAAAAAACGGGGAGTAATTGAAATCTACTTTCTCACTTGCAAAATGGGAAGAAATGTGTTTACTTTCCAGGCCTGTTGTGAGAATTTAAGTAAGAGATATTTTTAATGACATGTGATAATAGTTTAGTATTAGTTTAGTGTTGCACAAAGAGTGCACTAAATATATGTGTTCCCATTAATTCTCTTTAGCCATTAAAAATGTTTTAAATTTAAACCTGTAGATGGAATTATTTCTGTATCTAATGGAAGTTGAATGATCTAAAAATATTACTTCATGCAACTTAAAACACAATTGGGTTGTAGAGATGCTTATAAATTAACAACTCTTAGCTCCTGAGATATATCGAAGGATATGAATGTTGTTTATTTTATTTATTTTTTTTTGAGACAGAGTCTCACTCTGTCACCCAGGCTGGAGTACAGTGGTGAGATCTCGTCTCACTGCAACCTCTGTCTCCCAGGTTCAAGTGATTCTCCTGCCTCAGCCTCCCGAGTAGTTGGGACTACAAACACGCACCACCATGCCTGGCTAATTTTCGTATTTTTAGTAGAGACAGGGTTTCACTATGTTGGCCAAGTTGGTCTCAAATTCCTGACCTCAGGTGATCCACCCACCTCACCCTCCTGAAATGCTGGGATTATAGGCGTGAGCCACTGTGCCCAGCCTAATCTCTTTCAAGTGATGCACAAGTGAGCTTTGGGAGCAATTCATATTTATATTATGATTAGAGTTTTATTAGCTGCTCTTAAATTACCATGTTTGATCCTCACAATTACCTTGTAATTTAAATATTGTGCTATTATTATATTGTAATTATTTTAGTTACTCTTATGGAGCTCAGACCATAATTATGTTAGTTATGCTATGGCAAAGATATGTGCTGGTTACTTTAGGTATTCTTTTCACAATAGTAGTAGAAGATGGGTAGCAGTATTCCTCTTTTTTACAGAAGTAAAAATGGAAGCTTTAAAGAGGTTGACATGTCCTAAGTCACACAGTTAATAAGTGGCTCCATTGTCCCTTGAATTCACATGTTTTGCCTTTGGATTTCATACACTAAGATTAAGGTACGCATTAAATATCAGGTGCAGATAATTTGATATAATGTTTCTTATTCATTTGCTTTAATACTTTTAAGAGAACAAGTCACCTCCAGTGGTTTATGTCTCTCATTTCATTTCCTGATTACAGCTTGGAAGTCTTTTTGCATGTTACTGTTCCATTGAAGTCACTCAGGCAATATGGGATGGATATCTACAACAAGCAGATCCATTTTTTATTTATTTCTTAATGTTAATTATCCTTGTTAATGCAAAGTAAGTATCTGGTTGGTTAGTTGTTTTTTTTTTTCCTCTTTTCTCAGGATGCTCTGTTAATATTTAACTTAAATTGATTTGATTCCCTTTTACAGAGAAGTTATTTTAACACAAGAGTCAGACAGCAAAGAAGAAGTTATCCGTAAGTATCATGTAATGTAGTGAAAACATTTCGGGTCTCCTTATCTGTGTAAGTTACTCAGTTTCCTCATTCATAAATTTAGGAGATTAGAAGAGCTCTGAGGCTCCATTCAACTCTCAAATTATATAAACACTCTCCAGGTACAGACCTTAAAGACGATTTTCCTTTATTTTGCCATCTTCTTTCATTCCTTCATATTTGTTCACTCTTTCATTGCTTTCCATATGCTATTCCTTTGGTTTCACTGTTCAAATAGATCGCCCTCCTCTGTTTCTCCCTACCCATCCTTAATTTACCTTTCAATACTCAGTTTATATGATATTTCAATTGTGAAACCTTGATTGTCGTCTTGGGGTCTCCCCACCATATTCCTCACATGGAGATAGTTACTTCCTCTCTATATTGCCTGGTACTTTGTGCTATCTGTATAGTAATGTTTATCTTATTACATTATAATGATTTATTTTTATTTTTGTCATACAAGACAAAGTTCTTTTAAGTCAGTAACTATTTCTTAGGTATTTTGTCTGTTCAGGGGCCCTGGCACTTCTTCATATATGTTTGTTAAATCATAGAATTCTAATTAAGGTTAATGAATTTGATTTGATTGCCTGACACCATCCTTCACTAACAAGAGATTTACATTAACAGTTTCAGCTCACTTGGAGAAATCCACTTTTCTACAAGATATTGTAAAAGCACCACTGTTGAGACTCTATTTGCATAGTATTTATGATGAAGATATTTCAGCTCTGATACATAAACAATGTTAATGTTTGCATTTTTCACAAACTACTAAATATTATGTCTATAATCATGTTTCAGAGTTCTTGCAAAATACTCCATCCAGTCTGAATACAGAAGATATAGAAGACCTTTTCTCTCTGGCTCAGTATTATTGCAGCAAAACACCAGCTTCTTTTAGGAAGGTATAAGACAAGAAATGATCAACTATTTTGCATTTCACATTTTGTACATTGTTTTATTACTTTGTATTCACTTTAGTTAAAATACTCTAGTTTGTCAATTTTTTCTGTTTCTTTATGTGGTGTAGTTTTGTGTGAGTTTTTTTTCCTCTCCATAAAGACCCTCCCTAGTGGAGGAAGAGACTAGTTAAAAAGATAGTAGAAAGCATCTTACCTCTCTTCTAATTATTGTTATTTCTGATCATAAGAAAATTGACTGTGAGATATTTGCTAAATTTGTGTTTTCTTGACTATAAAAATTGTATTACAGGGCTGGGCATGGTGGCTCATGCCTGTAATCCCAGCACTTTGGGAGGCCAAGGCAGCCGGATCACAAGGTCAGGAGATCGAGACCGTCCTGGCTAACACGGTGAAACCCTGTCTTTACTAAAAATACAAAAAATTAGCCAGGCGTGGTGGCGGGCACCTGTAGTCCCAGCTACTTGGAGGCTAAGGCAGGAGAATGGCGTGAACCTGGAAGGCGGAACTTACAGTGAGCCAAGATCACGCCATTGCACTCCAGCCTGGGTGACAGAGCGAAGATGCTGTCTCAAAAAAATAAAACAAAAAATTCTATTACAGTAGTAATCCAGTGGAGGAGGTAGAGTTATGCCACTTTTCTCTGGAGTGCAGGTTTGTACAGTGTTAGTGATGCAGAGCTGTCTTTTAATGAAAGGTCATTTAGGCCCCATAAAGACTTAGACCCTTAGACCAGACAGGTGCTTAATAAAGGACACCAGATTAGAAGTGTGAGTGATGTGAACTCCTGAAAAATGAAACTCTGAGAAGCAAAAGCTAATAGTGGAAGAGGCACAAGTTTTTAAAGCCAGCAGGTTTGTATATGACTTCAGGTGCCCATGAGAGCATTATTGTCTTTTTTTTTGTAAAGCATTCCGCCATGATAATTTCTAGTTGGTACTCGTCATGTCACTGAAGTGTCAAGATAAAGTTAAATTATGTTTAGTGTACTGTGTTTTAGAAAGCAGGTAAAGGAAACCTTTTATGATCATTTTCCCTTAAAAATAACTAATTTTAAAACACTTATTTCTAGGGACCAATTTCAACTATTTTAATAATTTTCTTATATAGAACTCTTCAGTTCCTAACAATGCTGGATAAGTCAGATGGTAGGACAGTAGTTTAAAATACTGAATGAAAAAGACGTCTTATTTTTTTTCTCTTTCAAGAGCTGCACCTTTTATTCTTCAAACATAGTGAATCTGTACTAGCAGTTGTGAATTAGAGCAGGCTGTGGATCAGTATTTTAACTCATTTATGCAATCGATTTCTGCCACATATTTGCTTTTATTAAGATATGAAAAATTGTAAGTAACTATTTTTAAAATTCAATATTAACTACAGGTGGTAGTATAGAAAATAGCTATTTAGAATGTGTTATTTTTTTCTTAGTCTTTCACTTTGTGTGAACACTAACAGGGACTTTATGTGACTTTTTTGTAGTTCTTAGCATATAAAATTTGAGATTAGTATTAGGTTTTTAAAATCACAACTCAAGAATATTATAATTTTACCTGTTATGGTTTAATTAGAATATTTTTAGGAAGAAATTTTGATTTTTTTTCATAATGTTTAAAAATTTCCCCTCAAACAGGATAATCACCATCTCTTTGGTAGTACTTTGTTGGGAATTAAGGATGATGATGCAGATCTGAGTCAGGCTCTTTGTCTGGCCATCTCAGTGTCAGAGATCCTTCAAGCAAATCAGCTACAAGGGGTAAGTAAAGGAAACCCAGTTTGTTAGGGGACCGTTCATTTTAAATACAAGGAACCAACTTCCTCCCTGTTCAGTGATTCCCACAAAATCAATTTACTGCAACAAGGTGGCTCTTTTGGCTTTTTGAATAATTGTGTTAAATGTTATGTTCAGAGGGTCATTTTAAAACTTGTCAGCTTGTGTGTTGTTTTAATTGTCTACAATTATTGTTGACATTCTTGACACCAGTTTTTGTAAATCGACATATCTTTTTTCATATTTCAGTAGAGCGACTGAATGTGGCATTGTATAAAATACTTAAAAGGGTGAATTTAGCATTTAACAGTTTCTGGTAGCTTACAGCTAATTGAATTACATGGTTTAGTTCGATACAACTTATAGCAAACGAGAATTGTGAAAATGTAATTTTCTGCATGAAAATCTAATAAGTCACTTTGACCGATGATGGTTTTTAATATATGGTCTTTATTACTAGTAGTGCAACAGTTAACCGTGGTTGTATTTGGAAGGTGTAGTGTATTTCCAAGATTGAGGGCAGGAAAGGAATGGACTTGGGAAGATAGCCTTTTATGGTAGATCTTTCTTAGTTGGATTTCTTACTGTATCTGTGCTGGTTGTTAAGAATTTTCAAAATACAAGCATCTCGCTTTTGTCTTATTCAGACTAATATTAAAAAACAAATGAAAACATGTTATCCAGTTTAAAGAGACCCACATGAACTTCTGTAGTTAAAACTGGTATTTCAGAACATTCTCCCTTCTTCCCACCCACACGAAATAGATGTTTAGTTCTTATGTGAATTGAGCTGTTGATAAATTTGCAGATTTATTTGCAAAAAAGAAAAGCATATCTAAAGTTATGTTTATAACTATGTAGTGTTTACATGGTACATTGTCAAATTCCAGTATAATTAGTTTTATAGCTCAAACAGACATTCTCCTTCTATGTATTTTAAGACTTTCCAGTAAAGAACAACATCTAAAAAAGAAAAATGTTTTAACTGTTAAAAAGAAATAAAAGTATTTAGGACCTTCAGGTTATTTTCTATACTAACTAGGTCCTCCTAGTTCCATGTGAGATCCATGTTTTCATAAACTTATTCCCTTCCTTTGGTTAGCTGTGAATATTATATTGTGCATTGTGAACCTCATGAGAAATTCCTATATATCAAATGTTGTTTCCCTTTTAGGAAGGAGTCCGGTTCTTTGTGGTGGATTGCCGTCCTGCAGAGCAATATAATGCTGGGCATTTAGCAACTGCTTTCCACTTAGATTCAGATCTGGTTAGTATAAATGCTGATTAATTATTCTTAAAGTAACTTTTTTTCCTTTAGTTCATAAATAAATGTATAGGTCCCAGATTGGGTAATTTTTTCTTTCTGTTTAAGAAGGCAGTCTCTGCCCTTATAAGAAAAGTGTTGCTGTCAGGTTTCCTTTTCACCCACATATGCTTTTGTGGTGTTTGTTTGTTTGTTTGTTTCGCTCTTGTTGCCCAGGCAGGAGTACAATGGTGCAATCTCGGCTCACTGCAACCTCTGCCTCCTGGGTTCAAGCTATTCTCCTGCCTCACCCTCCTGAGTAGCTGGGATTACAGGCACCCACCACCACGCCCGGCTAATTTTTTGTATTTTTAGTAGAGAGGGGCTTTCACCATGTTGGCCAGTCTGGTCTCAAACTCCTGACCTCAGGTGATCCCCCTACCTCAGCCTCCCAAAGTGTTGGGATTATAGGCGTGAGCCACTACATCCGGCCCAGATACCCTTTTGGCATCATAAAGAGTAGTTGAAACAATGTTCACTATGGCTTACTATTGCTTACCATTGTTATGTCAGTAAATTCTGAATTTAGTTTGAGCTACATAGTAGAGCACTTAGCATAGTGCACTGCACCTACTAAGGACTCTTCGGATATCAGCTCTTACTGTAATTGAGTAAGAATTCTGTAGGCTTTATAGTATGAACCATTTTTAATCATGAGTATTTATACATATAATAAACTAATATTTAATAACGATAGTATCTGGCTTATAAGTACTTAGTTATTAAAACTACTATCCTAGGTCATTTAATTTGAAGAATGGTAAAGTAAATAATTGTCAGAGATGTAATGAGCCGTTGGTAAAATTGAGGCTAACATCATTTAAGCCATTCTGGGATCATTAAAGCCTCAGGGATGGGGAACACAGGAGTGGGATGAGAAATCTCTTAGCTAAATATTAAGTCTACCTTTCCCCTTCCTAACCTGTCTTAAAAATTTGATGCTGAGACTGAAAGGGTGTGTGAAAGGGCCTAGGTAATATTGAGAGAAAACTAACATAAGAAATCAGGGTTTTGGATATTGTGAGAAAGGCCATCTTAGCTCATCCATATTCTATAGTTGAACTCTGTGCCTTTCTCTTCCCTTGATTCCTCTGTCGTTCCTATTTTAACAGTTTACTCAGGTGATTCATGAATACTTAAATTAATTTTTTTTTTTTTTTTGAGACAGAGTTTCTACTCTGCCACTCAGGCTGGAGTGCAGTGGTGTGATCTTGGCTCACTGCAACCTCAGCCTCCCAGGTTCTGGCGATTCTTTGGCCTCAGCCTCCCGAGTAGCTGGGACTGCAGGTGTGCACCACCACATCTGGCTAATTTTTTTGTTTCTAGTAGAGGTGGGGGTTCATGTTGGCCAGGCTGGTCTCGAACTCCCAGCTTCAAGTAATCTGCCCACCTCGGCCTCCCAAAGTGCAGGGATTACAGGCATAAGCCACCATGCCAGCCTTGAATTTTTAAAAAATTTTAAAGAATATTATCAACTTACTTAATCTTGCAGACTTTTAATATCTATTTACATATTTCTTGTTTTGCCACTTGATTTTTAACATAACAGTTTCTAAGAGATCTTTTGATATAAGTACATTCTTTCTAATGATGCATAGTCCATAGTACATGTAGGTATACTATAATTTATTGTCTGATTGATGTATATGTGGGTTATTTTTTGTTTTCTTGTAATAATGCTGCAGTTATACATTTTGTGAACTTATGCAAATATTTCTGTAAAATAGATTCTTAAAAGTAAAATTGTTTTGTTGAGGTGTGTGGATATACATTTTACTAGAGACCACCATATTGCCCTTTAAAAAGGTGGAACCCAGCTACTCTGGAGGCTGAGTTAGGAGAATTGCTTGAACCTGGGAGTCAGAGGTTGCGGTGAGCTGAGATCGCGCCACTGCACTCCAGCCTGGGTGACTGAGGGAGATTCTGTCTCAAAAAAAAAAAAAAAAAAAAGATGGAACCGGCCGGGCACGGTAATCCCAGCACTTTGGGAGGCCGAGACGGGCAGATCACAAGGTCAGGAGATCGAGACCATCCTGGCTAACACGGTGAAACCCCGTCTCTACTAAAAAAATACAAAAAAATTAGCTGGACGAGGTGGCGGGCACCTGTAGTCCCAGCTACTCAGGAGGCTGAGGCAGGAGAATGGCGTGAACCCGGGAGGCGGAGCTTGCAGTGAGCCGAGATCATGCCACTGCATTCCAGCCTGGGCGACAGAGCGAGACTCCGTCTCAAAAAAAAAAAAAAAAAAAAGGTGAAACGTTCTTATGTTTCAGAACTCTAAATGAGAATGCCATTGGTATTATTGGACATTGTCAGTCTTTTCTCATCTTACCAGAGTGATGAGTGAAAAATAGTTGTAATTACCAATGAGGTTGAACATTGTTTTTTGTGAGTGTGCTATTTGTATTTGCTTTTGTTTTTTACAAATTGCTTTTCTATGTGGTCTGTCCATTTTTCTATTTTTCACCATACTTTTTGTGTATCTCCATTAAAACAGTTTTTAAACATCTTTGTAGTCATTGTCGTACTTGTTTCCTTGAGGGTAAGAAATCAATATTTCATCCTTGTATCTCCATTACCTGGAATAGTGCTGATAAACAAATGCCTTCTGTTATTTCTGACTATCCTCTAAGAAATACATAGTTTACCATCTAAGGGGAAACTGAAAAATAGAGCTTGTTTTGATCTATAGTTTTATACTCTTTCTGTCTTGATACCTAAGGACACAGTTGCTACTTGTTATGTAAGAAAAAACAGGAACAAAACAGGTTTTCTGTAGTAGAGAAGTATTTTATTTGCATCAGTCTTTGTGTGAATGTTCAATTTTTGTTCTATTGTATTATAGATACATTTATAAATATTTCTCTTATCCCAGGGGTTTTATTTATAAGAGTCTTTTTTTCCCTTCATTTTCATTGTGGCTCTTTAAATATTGGGGTTTTTCCTAAAAAAATTTCAAATTTACAAATATATGTGAAACACAGGCTTGTCAAGTTTTCAACTTTAAAAAAATTGTCTAGATGCTCCAGAATCCATCTGAGTTTGCACAGTCAGTAAAATCCTTGCTGGAAGCACAGAAGCAGTCCATTGAGTCTGGATCCATAGCTGGTGGGGAGCACCTCTGTTTTATGGGCAGTGGCAGGGAGGAAGAAGACATGTATATGAACATGGTCCTGGCACACTTTTTACAGGTATGCTGACATAAATTATTTCAGTTTTGTTTGGTTAATGTTATCACCTTTAAAAAATTTGCGTAGATAACTTTTTGCTTGTCAGATTTATCTGTATTTTTCTTGGTTTTGTGACTTGTTAAGGTCTTCTCCAGATTTTTCTCATATGCTTATATGATTTTTTTTTAATGTTTAACTCAAACCATCTGGAATTTATTTTGTGTAAGAAGGTAGGAATTAAAAAATTCTCCAAATAGCTTACAAATTGTACAATTTGAAATACCACCTTATTAATACTTTGAGTTCCTCTATGCATCAAGATCTATTTCTGGATTATTATGTTACATTGATCTTTTATTGTTTTCTGTTTATTATTGTTTTTTTGAGCTGGAGTCTTCCTCTGTCGCCTAGGCTGTAGTGCAGTGCGTGATCTTGACTCACTGCAAACTCCGCATCCTGGATTCAAACAATTCTCCTCCCTTCGCCTCTCGAGTAGCTGGACTACAGGCATGCGCCACGACGCTTGACTAGTTTTTGTATTTGTAGTAGAGACGGGGTTTCACTATGTTGGCCAGGCTGGTCTCGAACTCCTGACCTCAAGTGATCCGCCCTCCTCGGCCTCCTAGAGTGCTGGAATTACAGGCGTGAGCCACCGTGCCTGGTCTATTATGTTACATTGATCGTTATGTGTATTTATGTCCTAGTACTTTTTACAGTAGCTATATAATTCATTGTAATATCTTCATTTGAAACTGAATAAATGCATATACACACTCATTCACAACACCTAGCCATCTTTTCTTTTTGTGTTTAAATATTGTCTTCAATACAACTAATTTGAATTAGTGATTTTATGCAACCTGCTTCTCTGCTTTTTTAAAAATGTCGCTCAGTGATGGCTTGTTTTGTATTAAAATAGTTACTTATTAGGTATTCTTTAGCAGTTTATGTGTTGAAGTCCTTACTTTGTATGGTCCTGAACTATGGAATCAGCAAGATGGTAGGCCTGGTAATACACAAGCCACTCAATTTGGATTGATTTCTATTTATGTTGTATTTTACTGAGCATCTGGTTTGAAAAAATTGAAGACGAAATCCTTGAAAAGCAAAATCAGAGAAGGAAGAGGATATTTGGGAGAGGGACTGTAGGATAATTTTAAATTTTATTAAAGGAAAGAGTTTAGAAGCATACGAAATAACAAAAATAAGGGACCAAACTCGTTTCACTCGTAAATTTAACTGGTCTATTCTAAAAATGCTTCAGGCCAGGCAGGGTGGCTCACACCTATAATCCCAATACTTTGGTAGACTGAGATGGGAGGATCACTTGAGCCCAGGAGTTCAAGACCACCCTGGGCAACATAATGAGACCCTGTCTCTACAAAAAATAAAAATATTAACTGCGTGTGGATGTGTTCATCTGTAGTCCCAGCTGCTTGGGAGGCTGAGGCAGGATAATTGCATGAGCTGGGAGATTGAGGCTGCAGTGAGCCATATTCATGCCACTGTACTCCAGCCTGGGTGACAGAGCGAGACCCTATCCTCAAAAACAAAATAAAATAAAAACGCTTTAGTGTAAACTATACTGTATATTGTGAGGGCTGTCATAGGGCAAGAGTTTGGAATATTGTGAACTTTTTTAAATTATTCAAGTTCTTTGTGTGGTTTTATAAATTTTTTCCCCAAATTTTATTATGGAAAATTTCAAGGAAATTGAAAAGTAGGGAGAACTGAATGCCATAAACTCATTATAAAGACATAACCACATCATTATCATACTTTATTAAAAAAAATTTAGTGTTCAAGTTTCCCTGATTTTCATAAGATCTAAAACAAGACGTTGACATTTGGTTGATGTCTTTTAAGTTTCTTTTAAGTTTATAGGTTCCTTTTTAAAATTTTTTTCCTTGCATATTTTTGTTGGGAAAAGCAGTTAATTTGTGTTATAGAGTTCCCCACATTCTGGATTTTGCTGATTACATTCACATGGTGTTGTTTATCATGTTCTGTCCCTGGTATTTCCTGTAAGCCAGTAGTCTAAATCTAGAGATGTTCAGACTTCTTTGTTTAGGAGAAGGAGGTCCTGAGGGGGTGATGCCTGCCTCTTTTAGATGGTAAATACTATTTAGATATCTTTTTAGTGTTCCTCTTTTTTATTGTTGTTTTTATTACTTAGATCCATTATGTTTTTAGTAGTTTGCAAAATGGTAACATTCCCTTATTTCTTCATAATTAGCCATAATGTTTCTTTTTATATTATCTTTTAATAGAGGACCCAAAATATTTTGAAAGCTTTTAAAAATCACTCTGATTACATCCTAAAATACTGTTTAATTTTGGTTTGAACATTGCACTATTGAAACGATAATACAAGTAAAATCAAGACTTGTTAATAGGCTTGAAGTTGTCCCCTTCTTCCCACCCAAGCACCAGACCCTTACAATATGTAAGGTAAATGGATATACCTCTCTGTGCCAAAGTCCAAAATATCAAGGAAATAAGAAAGCCCAGAAATTTAATATATAACTTGATATTGTATTTATCAGTGTTTTAGAACTAGCTGAAGTTTTAATTAAGTCGCATTTTTGGAAGAATTTAAATTTTCTTTTCCATTACAGAAAAACAAAGAGTATGTGAGTATTGCCAGTGGAGGATTTATGGGTAAGATTTTAATTTATTAGTTTTTTTCGTCTGTATTTCAGAAGAAATTGTATTGATTATCAATAGAGTTGATCTGGAGTGGTCACATTAGTTAATGGTTGCACTCTCTTCATTCATTCGATATTTTCAGAAAAGGCAAGGCCAGGAGGACTTACAGATAACAGACAAACGTAATAGGCAGTTGAAATGAGTGACTATTTGATGTAAGACTATTTTAATAGATTTGTTTCCAAAAAATATTTTTGTAAAGATAAATGAAAAACTGTCCATATGATTGCCTCTGTGGAGAAGGAGGATTAAATGATGGGATGGGGAAGGAAGAATTCAAGGAATACTTTTTATAGTATACCCTTTGGACTCTTTAGGTGTTTTATTATTTTATTTTTGAGCTACTTGAAGGTATTCTCTGTGTAAAAAATGTTAGCTAAGTGGAACAAAATAAATTGATGTTTTCAGAACTGCAGACTAATATTTGATAATCTAGGAGAGTAAAATAATTGGCAAGATCTCTGCAGGCAAGTATTGAGAATTTTACTTTGCAGGCAGAGTAATAAGATTTTAAAAGAGCCTGTCTTACATTAGAAAAAGATTACAAAAATACTGAGCTGTAAATGCTGGGGAAAATTAATGATCAAATCAAATCAGCATATAAGAATCACATGCTAACCAATTGTGCAACTGAAGCTCCAAAAATCAAATCGGTATATGTTGAGAGTAATGGAATCTTAGGCTTTAATCATGGGAGTTAGGCTGTAACTTAGGATTTTTGGAACATTAGGATGTATTTCCTCTTGGTCTTTGTTGATATTAACAAGGATTATGATTATCTTCTATATATCATGACCTGATAACTGACGACTTTTGAGGTTCATACCCAGAGTGATGTACAAAAAGGGTTATTTTAATAAGTAGTGTTAAACATGTATTGGCCCTAGGCTCAGTGTTATTTATTAGGAATCCTGGTAATGATATAAAACTTGATTATTAAGCTTGTAATTCTCAAAAGTGTCTGAAAAGCATTTTTTTTATAGTATAGCCCAGATTTTGGAAATGTTTTTAAAACCATGGATTAGTTATTCACCAAGAATAATATCTCTTTCTGTAACTGTTAATGCCTAACAGTGCTTCTTTATTATGGGAGAGATTGATTGATGTCTCCTTATGGTATAACAAAAGTCACAATTGGTTTTCTATTAATCCTTTATGTCATAAAAATGTTGCAGAAATTATCTGTTAATACTTGAAAGATTTCCTTCCAAAGAAGAAAACATAAAGCCTATACAGTTATCATCACCTTTGGCGTCACTTAAGAAATGTTGTCCATGTACAGAGGGTTTTAGAAGGAAGAAGAGGAAGGTTTGCTCTAGCTTGGAGGCCTTTTCTCCATCACAGATGTGCAGAAAGAAATACCTGTGATTATTTCCTTCGGTCCTTTTTTCTCAGCTGTGACATGTTTATTATATTTCGTTGGTAATGAATTTTTCCAAAGAGGGTTGATATTTTAGGTTTTGTTGTTGTCGTTGTTTTTAATTTATCTTAAGCACTGCAGCAGCACCTGGCAGACATTAATGTGGATGGACCAGAAAATGGATATGGCCATTGGATTGCTAGTACCTCAGGCTCAAGGAGCAGTATCAATTCTGTTGATGTAAGTGTATGTAGAGAGTACATTACCGGATTTGGATAAGTTCCCAGAAAAGGTGATTAACTACTAAACCCCCACCATAACAGAAATGGAGTCAAAACATTTTAAACACATGCCATGAAGAGTCATAGTATTGTGAGATTAATGAAATGATACAACAAGCCTTTATTGTGAGATTAATGACATGATACAGCAAGCCTTCACAGCTAAACTAGGTGGGAGCTCTTGAAGTTCAGCTGCTGAATTCAAATTTCTCCCTGTCCATCTGTAGTTTGGTATCACATAGTGACAGTTTTATGCTCCAGCTTAAATATCGATGGGGACAAATCTGGGTCTTACAAATAGCTGGGACTCTTAAGCAAGCTGATCCCAGGCATCTCCCAGTGAGTTTTTGCCAGAATACTAGGGCTCATAATCATCTCGTGCACACTGTATCTGTACCCATCCCCATCACAGACTTAAGTGATGTGAACTTGAGTCTATCCACATTTGAGAATTGGTCAGGCAGAGGAAGACAAGAATCAGTTGCCAATCCTATTTGATTTTTAGTTATTGAGATGTGTATTACTACCCGGTTTTGCTACAGTGGATAAATCTGTTTTTCTGTTCTACTTTGGAAATATTTGGGTAATAGGTCTTTTGTGCTTTTCCAGTACTTCAGTATTTCATGTTAGTTGAATTAGATGTCATTAAATTATTTTCATAAATAATGGTCCTCATCTACCTAGTGATTATTTTTTAAAACAGAAATAGAAGGGAAACTGCAGTACAAGGTCATGGTTAGTAGCTTGGGCTTACAGGTCTGACATACCTGGGTTCAGATTTCATCTACAACTTACTTTCTTCATGATCTCCAGCAAGGTCTTTGAGCTGTGGTTTCTCCACCTGTGCAATAGAAATGTTAACAACATACTTTCTTCCTAAGGATAACTTGAGGATTAACTGTGGAAGTAAATGGAAAGTATAGTACCTGTCACCAAATATGTAATAGTAGTTATTATGAAATTGTAACTCACTACCTGTGTTAGTTGAGGTTTATCTTCAGCCATGCAAGTCAAAATCAGATTATTTTCACATCAGCAGATAAGGCTTGCCTGATAATCTTATTTTTAACTTGATACTCTTATTTTTAACTTGATGCTCTTTGTGTGAAATCACCATTTACTTAGTTAATGTTTGCTATTTTTACTTACAAATAACTAAATAGTATTTCATTGTCTGGGTATATTATAATTTATTCAGTTTTCTATTATTCAATATTTACATTGTTTCCAGTTTTTTTCTGTTAGAAACACTGTTTAATTTTTGTAGTGATAAATTTGCATATGCCATGATTATTTAGTCCTGGAAGTGGAATAACTTGATTAAAATGTTACCAAAGTCCTTAGACTTCTGCATTATTATCAAATGGCTCTCTAAAAAACATTCTAATTTATATTCCTGTTCACATCACTGGATAGTTTTTCTGTGGAAGCTTTTATATTCAGATTTGAAAAATGCTGATTGAGGTTATTTTAGAAATTATCTTAAAGAGCATTCTTTTCAAAGTACCAAAGAAGTTTTGCAGTTTAATTTGGCTTTGAATTTAGATATAGAAATAGAAACATAGTTTTTTTGTGTTGTTAATGACATTTCTTCTAAAAATAAAAGTAACAGATGTTCATTGTAGCATCATATATAAATAAGAAAAGTATAAAGAAAACAAAATCACCTGTAGCTGTTCCAGAGATAATTTTGCCAATCGTATTTTAAAGTATTTTCATCAAACCCTTTTTAGTGAATGTTTCTTTATTTTAAAAGTAGTGATCATAGCAAACTAGAATTTTCTGCTTTTTCACTAAACATATGAGCATTTTCTAGCATTTTAAAATGCTATTTAAAAATAGTATGCGTTTGTAATGGCTGTGTAATTTTCCATCAATTAGTACCCAAATTTCTGGGCACTTCCTTCCCATTAATTCTAAAGAGGAATTAATTGGCAAAAAAGAGGATCACTTTTAAATGTTTGACACCCATCACTGAATTTCCTTCTAGGAAGGTATATGTGAGCAATCCCATGAAACAATTTAAGAATTATACTCACAGCTATGCACAGTGGCTCATGCTTGTAATCCCAGCACTATGGGAGCCCGAGACAAGTGAATCACCTTAGGTCAGGAGTTCAAAAATTAGCCAGGTGTGGTGGCAGGTGCCTGTAATCCCAGCTACTCGGGAGGCTGAGGTTACAGTGAGCTGAGATCGTGCCACTGCACTCCAGCTTGGGTGACAGAGCAAGACTCTGTCTCAAAACAACAACAACAAAAAAGAATTATACTCGCATCTCTTACATTTGGTACATCAGGATAAGTTTTCTTCAGAAAATAAAGGCCTCAGTGGCTGTGTCTTTAAAAAGCAAGCATTTACAAGGGATAAATATTTAAAGGTTTAGCTACATGGATAGTAGTTTGATTATACTTTTGCTTTATTTTTGTAGACTAGTCCAAGAAAGGTTAATAGTTTTAACTATTTCCTATTGAATAAATAAGGTAATTTCAGACTCCACACACATATGTGCAAATAGTAGTTTGATCATACTTTTGCTTATTTTTGTAAACTAGTCTGAGATAAGAAAGGTCAGTGGTTTTAACTATTTCTTTTATAATAAAGAAGGTAATGTCAGACTCCACACACATATATGTGCAAGTGTATCCTAATTTTTTATTCTACCTTCTATTCTTTTTCTTTTTCATTTCTTTTTTTTTTTTTTTTTTTTTTTTTGGACACGGAATCCCACTTTGTCGCTCAGACTGGAGTGCAGTGGCACAATTTCGGCTCACTGCAACCTGCACCTCACAGGTTCAAGCAGTTGTCTGCTACAGCCTCCCGAGTAGCTGGGATTACAAGTGCCCATCACCATGCCCGGCTAATTTTTGTATTTTTAGTAGAGATGGGGTTTCACCATTTTGGCCAGGCTGGTCTTGAACTCCTGACCTCGTGATCACCCGCCTCGGCCTCCCAAAGTTGCTGGGATTACAGGCGTGAGCCACCGCGCCTGGCCTCTACCTTCTATTCTTAAAATGATTTCACCTAATGAATTAGTTTGCAGCTGCTGCAACAAAATATCATACCACAGACTGGTGGCTTGACCAATGTAAATTTATTGTCTTACTGTTCTGGAGACTGAAAGTCGAAGATCAAAGTGTTGGCAGGTTTAGTTTATCCTGAGGCCTCTCTCCTTGGAGTGTAGATGGCTGCCTTGCCCTCTGTGTCCTCACATGGCTTCTTCTCAGTTTTCATATGCTCATGTCGTTGTCTCTTATAAGGACACCAGTCAGACTGGATTAGAGACCACCTATAAAGACCTCATTTAACCTTAATTATGCCTGTAGAGGCCCTGTCTCCAAATAGAGTCACATTCTGAGATATACTGGGAGTTAGGACTTCAACATATGAATTTGGTGGGATTGCAATTCAATCTATAGCATGTAGATAACCGTTAGCAGTAGTATGTCTTCTAGTCATTTAGAGAGCAGTTAATCCATCTATCTTCTTTTTTTAGGGTGAATCTCCTAATGGCTCAAATGATAGAGGAATGAAATCACTAGTAAATAAAATGACTGTGGCTTTGAAGACAAAATCCGTTAATGTCAGGGAAAAAGTTATCAGTTTTATAGAGAATACATCAACTCCTGTGGATCGGTGAGTTGTTTATACAGTATGAGTTTATGATGAATAATTAAAACTAAAGAAATAATGTCTTACAGTAAGTAAATGTTAGTTGAATTGAATGTGTTCCAGAAAAGGATCATAAAGTACATTTTCTATTAGATGATTTCATCGTTTTCATTAGAATTGCAGTAATGTACTTTATATCCATAATCTCTCTTATCTGTCACATCATGCCATTCACTAAAAATAATTTATGTCCCAGTATGTATTACTTTTCATATAGTAGCTGCTTCCCAAATGTCAAATGGATGGAGAATCATCTGCTGAATTCAGTGATCTCATAGTAAGAACTTCTTCCTCTGCTCCAAGCATTTAAAACCTAGAAAATCTGGTCATGCTAAATATAGCAGAAACCCACCTTCTGATGTTTAAGATCAGACCTTCATAGAATTTCGTTTACAAAACCCCATTTCCTTGTAAATTACAAATGAGGGACGTGGTTAACAACTGATAAACAAGTTTAAAAATATCTGTTTTATGTATCTTGTTTCTTACTGTAACTGAGGATACGTATTTTTCTCCATGTATGAGTCTGTTTGATCCTTCCTGTTCCTAGAGTTCAAAGCTAGTCTTATAATTGCAACACAGAATTTGTTTTTAAGGAAGCCTTATATTGGAAATGTGTTATAGTATTTGGTTTCACTTTCATGTCTTGCAGTATCCTGGAAAAATTGACGTATTTTACTTTAAGAACTGAATGTCAGGGATTTGTTGTCTGTCCCTTTATTAAGTATAGCATATATGCATACAAAAGTACATTTTTTTGCATTTAGTAAATAGCTGAGAAGGTAATAGATTATTTTCATTGATCCAAAAAATTGTACCTTATCCAAAGTGGTCAACTGATAATTACCAAGGTGTTTTATCAAGCCTGGAAGACTTGTTTGTGCAGTAAAGTTATGTCTGTTCTCAAAAGCTAACCCTTTTACCTTTTGTTGGTGCTTCTAGGTTGGAGGACTATTATTACTACATTTGGTAGCATGAACATTTGCAATTTTATTTTAAAATTTATTTGTTTTATTTTAAAATGGACTGGTGATAACTAAGTCAAAAAGACTGCTGCCTTGATTTACTTGTAATTGGCTTTTCTTTGTTTTTCTTTGTACTTGGGATGATGGAAACATCTTTATAATGTACACTTTGGGTGAGAAAAACTGACTAAACTGTACCATATTTTTTGTTTTAAAGCTGTTGCATTTTTTTATAATCATTTTGTTCTGTCCTCTGCCTTGATTTGCTATAGAATGTCTTTCAATCTTCCTTGGCCAGACAGATCATGTACAGAGCGGTAAGCCAATGAGTAGAGCATTTTTCTTGAACCATCCTTTTCCTTTAATATGCCTCATGCCATCTATAAGCCTTATGCTGTCTTGGCTCAAATTTCATGCAGCTATTTCAAATGCTAAACTTTTCTCATTCTGCTTTTAGGAGTGTGTCATATTGTTTGATATACTTTTCTTTTGTTTTTTGCTTGATCATTTTAATTTCTTTTCCTGCATGCTTGTTTGTATCACGCATTCCACAGATGAAAATTAAGTTTGTTCAAAACCTGCAGTTTTTATTCTGAGACAGGGGAAGGTGAAACAAAAGAAAGCATGTGTGTGGTCACGAGCTGGCAGGTTATTTGCTTTGGTGCTCATTTGCTTCTATCTCCTGCCTAGCAGCAGAGAAAATTATAGCACCTAAAAGTAGGCACCATTCATGGTTCAAAATTTTTGTTAATTAATGTACATTATGTAATTTTATATTTTTAGATTTTTCTTAATAAAATGTATGTATTTAGGTTGAGTTAGCATATATAAATCTAAGGAACTACAGTTCTAGGGTTCTGCCTTTGGTTTTTGTTGAAAAAAAAATTATGTTTTTTTTCTAGGTGCTGGATTACTTTAATGTATAATTTGTCACTTCTCTAACCCAAATAAAATGAGATGTTTCTCATTAAAAGACAAAATAAGTTTAAGGTTTAGAAATCTACTGGATCTTCAATTAGGATAACAAAAGAACTTTACTAACTTAACTCTGTGTGACTTTACAGTTCTTATACTCACAGAATTTTTCAGCAATTTAATTTAGAATATCAATTACAGCAACACCTACAAACATTTAAAAAGAAATTCTGTAAATCCTAAGTGGGCCAGAAAAAAAAAATTCTAGTCATATTTTGAATGTAAGTTAAGCTTTGGAATAATGGAATGGAATTTGTCTCAGGTCACTTCAGTATTCTCAGTGACGTGAAGTAGCATTTTAAAAAATAATACTTCATTCTCTAAGACTATACTTTTGGCCCGGCGTGGTGGCTTACGCCTGTAATCCCAGCACTTGGGAGGCTGAGGCGGGCAGATCACGAGGTGAGGAGATCAAGACCATCCTGGCTTACACAGTGAAACCCCGTCTCTGCTAAAAAAAAAAAAAAAAAAAAAAAAAAGATACAAAAAAATTAGCTGGGCATGGTGGTGGGCACCTGTAATCTGAGCTCCTCAAGAGGCTGACACAGGAGAATGGGGTGAACCCGGGAGGTGGAGCTTTCAGTGAGCCAAGATCATGCCACTGCACTCCAGCCTGGGCGACAGAGTGAGACTCCGTCTCAATAATAATAATAATAATACTTTCTAGTATCTTCTAAGAGTTTTGATTTATTGTGACTATTCCTACACAATGCCAATTACAGGACTTCTGCTAATAATTTTACCTAGCACTACTTTAAATGAAATTGCTCCTTTTAAAATTATAATCTATTTGTGAATCATCCTTTCCATTTTATTCTGTTATAGGACCATTGAATTAGTCTAATTTTTTTAACTCCCAAGTTCCCAAATTATTAATTTTTGTAACTTAAATCATCTCTGATCCACAGTTAGATATATTTGTTTAGAAAAGAGAATCTCATGAGAAGTTAGAATGAAATAGGTTTCTTTCTAAGCTCAGTAAATTAAAGCCTACTCAAACCATATTAGAGATGTTTCTATTATTACCATGGCAAAAAAGTATAGATATTATGCTTTAAAAAAATAGTCCAGCTGTTGAATTTTATTCATATTTAGCCAGTCTTTCCAGAAATGTCTCAATAATTCTTAGCATTCATGGTTATAAAGACTTTGCATTGTATTATAAATCTTGATCAACAATTAATAATTTGGTTTTTAGGATTGTCTCTTTACTCATACTTTCTGGTTACTTGGTTATCTAGTTATAGCAAATGCTTATTTGCTGTAAACATTTATCTTTGTTACTTTCTATGTTATGGCAGTTTAATTGTGCTTTAATATTAGGAGAGAACTCATAATCTAAAATTTTACAATCTAGATGGCATCAAAACATTTTTAGATAAAGCTCTTACCTCTTTCTTTTGTAAGAAAGCTGAATCTGAGTTTCAAAGGCATCCAAATTATATCATTTTCTATCTCTCATGAGCATAGTTTGGTAATTTATAGGACAGTTTTACATTAAATATATTTTAACATAAAACCAAATGATTATGTCACTTTTTGTTTAACCACACTTTAAGCCTATGTATTGATTAACCTAACTTGTAATTTCCAATGAATATTTGTTATACATTAAACTCTCATTATGTTGAGGAATGTTATTTTGGAAGAAGTAAATCAACAGAATTAAGCTACAAAAAAATGTTTATTGATGACGTATATTTAAAATTATTTAAAGTATGGATTTGATCTCTATCTTCTGGGAAAATTGAATTCTAAACCTAAGTAAAGGCCAAGTGTGGTGGTTCACACCTGTAATCTCAGCACTGGGAGGCTGAGGTGAGAGGATCACGGGTGCGAGAGTTCAGACCAGTCGGCAGCATAGCAAGATCCTGTCTCAGAAAAAATAAAAAAATTAGGCGTGTGGTCCTGCACCCCTGTAGTCCCAGCTACACGGGAGACTGAGGCAGAAAGATTGCTCGAGCCCAAGAATTCAAGGCTGCAGTGAGCTAAGATTGTGCCACTGTACTCCGGCCTGGGTGACAGAGCGAGACCCTGGCTCTAAAATAATAATAATAATAATAACTAAAGGCATGTAACTTGATTTTTTTTCTCACATTGGAATATCTCTTGAAAATAGAAGATTCTGAGTGTTTTCATACATTACATGCACACACCCCAAAAAGCTAGAGTCTTCCTTTGTAGTAGGTAATTTTAGCTGATCCTTATCCTACAAGTAAAACAACACTTTTCCCCTCAGAAACATGTAGTATTTTGTTGACACATTTTAATTTTACCTCTTAGTTTATTTGGGATTACCTGAAAATTAATAGGGTATTAATTTTTATGTTAAAAAGAGAGGTCACACTTCCTATAGACCTAATCAAGCTTGAGTTTACATGCTTCTGCCTTTTGAAAAAGAGGCAGATTCTTTTTTTTGCCTTGAGGTGGAGTTTCACTCTTGTTGCCCAGGTTTGAGTGCAATGGCGCGATCTCGGCTTACCACAACCTCCGCCTCCCGGGTTCAATCGGTTCTCCTGCCTCAGCCTCCCAAGCAGCTGGAATTACAGGCATGCACCACCATGCCCAGCTAATTTTGTATTTTTAGTAGAGATGGAGTTTCTCCATGTTGGTCAGAGTAGTCTTGAACTTCTGACCTCAGGTGATCCACCCGCCTCGGCCTTCCAAAGTCCTAGGATTACAGGAGTGAGCCACCGCGCCCGGCGGAGGCAGATTCATTTTTATGGCTTATATTTGCACAACAAAAGTAGAATCTTCATTTCTATTGAAACAAAAGTAACAGTAATAAAAAAATGGGAAGATAACCCTTAAGACACTTGCACTTATATGAGAAACCTTAACCACTCATGTTGGAATTTGAATATTTGGTGTCAGTAACTTATTTTACTTAACAGACATGAAGGTGGTACCAGGTGTTGTCCCAATAGTTTTACAATAAAATTAACCGATTTAGTTCTCACGATAACCCTGACAGGTAGATATTGTTAGCACTATTTTACAGAGGAGGAATCAGAAGCACAGAAGTCTAAATAACTTGCGCAAGGCCAAACAGATCTAAACATTAGTTTTAATATGGATATTAAAATTGTTTAAAATTTAATTTTTACATATTTAAGAGCATTCAGTAAGGCCTTATGCCACTTTTGCTAACATAATTTCTTTATCTTCTTTTAATTTCCTTAACATAGCTCTCCTAAAACTATGGCTAGTGCACAGGGTTTTGCGGGGGATAAGGAATATTTACATTTTGTGTGAATATTCAAATGATGCTTGGTAAAAATCTTTGAAAACTTCTTAAATGATTATTTCTTCCCTAAAATTCTTTGAATATAGGCATGTGAGCAGCAGTGACAGAGTGGGCAAGCCTTACCGTGGTGTAAAGCCTGTTTTCAGCATTGGGGATGAAGAAGAATACGACACAGGTGTAGTAATACACTTAGCTACAGATGGCTTTGCTCAGTCATCAGGAGTGATTACAGCAGTCATTCTGGGAATAGCCAATCAACTGCTTTTTTAAAAAACTGAGATTCTGTAGAAATAATTGGAGAATCTGTGGCTTTCTATTAAGAGTTTGGTTTAGGCACCTTGAATTGTACCTATTAGAAATCCAAGCAGAAATGTTAAGTAGAGGCAATTGATTATAGGTGTCTTCAGCTGAGGAGAGAGGTCTAAACTGATGATAATTTGAGGGCTATCAGTGTAGAAATAGTATTTAAATTCAAGTGATGGGATTGAAATTCCTTTGATCAATCACCTAGATTCAGAGTTGTGGGACTAAAGCACTGAGAATTACAAAATTGAGACATCTGAAGTCTTTTGAAACTGGAGGCAATATCCTAAAGGGCCACAAGATGGTGATATTGTGTCAGGGAAGGTTGTCTTCTCTGTGGTTATGTTTTTTAAAAATAATTTAGACCAGGCTCGGTGGCTCATGCCTGTAATCCCGGTACTTTGGGAGGCCGAGGCAGGCAGATCACTTGAGGTCAGGTGTTCAAGACCAACCTGACCAACATGGTGAAACCCTTTCTCTACTAAAAGTACAAAAATTAGCTGGGGGTGGTGGTGCATGCCCGTAATCCCAGCTGATTGGGTGGCTGAGGCAAGAGAATCACTTGAGCCTAGGAGGCGGAGGTTGCAGTGAGCCAAGATCGTGCTACTGCATTCCAGCCTGGGCAACACAGTGAGACTCTGTCTCAAAAAAAAAAAAAGAAAAAAATTTAGTCTTTGGTTTATAATTCTACTGCCCAGTTCATCCTAATTAAGCAATCATAACTAATATTGGTTAATATGTGTTAGGTAAGCAGTCATAACTAATTTTGGTTAATATGTGTATTGAGTTAGGGAAAAAATATATAAATGTACAGAATGAGGAAAAAAGACTCCCAAATCTCACCTTGCTTTTTCCAGTTAGTAAAACATGTTGCATATTTCCCATTTCAGCTCATGTATCTCCTCATTCTCCTTCTATCATATAAACATACCATACTTTATTTAGTCCGCCTTCCAGTTGACACCGGTGGTTTCCCAGGGTTTTTGTTTGTTTCAAATGGCAATGGATCTTTATATAAAGATATATATGCATATTAGCTTTTGATGAAAGTATATTCAGAGGGTAAATTCTCAGCAGTCAGATTGCTAGGTTATGGGGAATCACATTTGACATTTTAATAGATACATGAAATCACTTTCCAGAAAACTTGCACAGAGGTAAATGTGATATTTCTAATTGTTTCCTTTTCTTCTTTTTTCCCCTCTCTATTGCCATCTTCTTTCTGTTATCTGTCTCTCCCTGAATATCTCAACTTCTTCCATTAACAAAGGGGAGAGGGAAATGGATGAATAAATTATGGCATATTTACATTTATCATATATCTACATACACATATTTACAATCTGGAAAATTGGACCATAATGAAAGTGAGAAAATGAACTGTGTATCAGTATGTATGAATTTCAGATGTTGGGAGTAGGGTAGCAGTTGCGGAAGAATGCAGTTGAGTAGTCTACTTTTAATATACATTTTGTTTGTCGAATACCACTGTATATTATTTAGGGATATGCATACATGTTATGGGATTTGCATATATGCATACATGTTAAAGCATGTATACTACTACTGTATGTATAATACTACTGTATATTATTTAGGGATATGCATACATGCATACATGTTAAAGCAAAGACATGTATGGAACTGATAACACCAAATTCAGATAGTATTTCTTGGTGGGGAAGGGAGGAGAATGTGAGTAGGAAGAGATACATGAGAGGTTCACTTTTGTGTAAGCTGGAGTGTCGATACATGCGATTTCCTTTTTCATTATGTCTGTATATTTTCCAGTATTTGCTAAAAAGCAAAGGACAGAACCTATAATTATTTACCTTAGAGACTGTATTTTCCCTTTCTTAAATTAGAAAATATAATTATTAATTATATTATTAATATATAAATAGAATTTAAAAATATAATTATTTTATATTTCTCTTAGGGAAAATAACCCTAGATTTTTACTTATTTATGCCAGGGTTGATTATTTTCTTTAAAATCAAAAAGCAGCAAGATAAAAAGAAATCTACCATCTTTACCCTCAAGATAGTGCCTATTTAACAATTCAGCCATCTCTTTACAGACTAGTCAGATCATAGTTAGGTTATGCATATCAAAACAATTGAAATTCCCCAAATAGTTTAATCTTTAAAAATGTATTCTTAATATTTAAACTTGACTTTGTTACCGTATGAAAGTGATGTTTGATAATAATATTTCTATATTAATATCAGTGGCATAAGGAAATAGAGTAGCAGGATTAGAATTGATTGTGTTATTCTTTTTTTTTTTTTCTTTTTTTCTTTTTTTTTGAGACAGAGTCTCACTCTGTCACCCAAGCTGGAGTGCAGTGGCACAATCTCAGCTCACTGCAACCTCCTGGGTTCAAACGATTCTCATGCCTCAGCCTCCCAAGTAGCTGAGATTACAGGTGTGCACCACCACGCCCAGCTAATTTTTTGTATTTTTTAGTAGAGACGGGGTTTCACCATGTTGTCCAGGCTGGTCTCAAACTCCTGCCCTCAGATGATCTGCCTGCCTCAGCCTCCCAAAGTGCTGTGATTACAGGCGTGAGCAACTGCGCCCAGCCTGTTTGTTTTTTAATCCATATCTTCAAAATACTACTGAAATTTTTTTAGACTGTTAGGGAATGTATCATTTTAAAAGTTGGTAATATCCATATTTAACACTTTATATTTTTTATAGATGAAATTGACAGTTCTTCAATGTCAGATGATGATAGAAAAGAGGTTGTAAACATTCAGACTTGGATAAACAAGCCAGATGTCAAACATCATTTTCCTTGTAAAGAAGTAAAAGAAAGTGGACACATGTTTCCCAGGTACTTTTAAAAATGTCTTCATCAGAAGTAAAATTGAATTTGGGGAAGTTAATAATACAAACTGAACTACAGAAGAACCTTTATTTATCCTAGTACAATAAGATATAATTTCCTTCTGTCTACTTGTATAATAGGTCTTGAATTATAACAGTATTTCGTATGTAATTTTTATTTTGAAAAATTTTATACAAAAATGTTGAAGGAATAGTACATTGAACACCCTTATGATTCTTTGATCAACTGTTAACACCTTTTAATACCACCCCATTTCGTATGTATATATGTACATATACCTGTATATGTACACTTTTGTCAAACCTTTCAAAAGAAGCCTACAAATGTGACACTTCACCCCTAAATGCTTCAGCATAAACCTCCCAAGTATATGAGCATTCTCCTGCACAACTTCAATGCCATTACCCCACCTAAAAATTTTTGTAAATCCATCATTTGTCATACAGATCATACCCCAATTTTTCAGTGTTCCCAAAGTATCTTTTGAAGTGTGTTTTTTCTTTCTGATCCATGATCCAGTTCATGGTTCACACATTGCATTGTCTGTTACGTGTCTTTAGTCTCACCCTGTGTGCAGCAGAACTCATCCCCCCACTCCCTCGCTTCCCTTTTCTCTTCATGATGAGTGAATCCTTTGAGTCCAGGTCAATCATCCTGCAGACTGTTCCACATTCTGGGCTTGTCTGATAATTGTCATATGGTATTACTGTACATAAAAATGTGAAAGTATTAAAAAGAAGCTGAGGTACAGGGGTTGTGGGTGAGTGTTAATAATACTATGCTCATTTTGCCTTCAGGATCCAGTTACAGAGTATTACAAAATATGTAGGGAAACCCAACAATTGCCTAGTGATCTTGGATATTAGGTATAGGATATGGTGCATTGAATGAGAATAGTTTATGAATATAGGTAATAGTGTTAAAAATCTGAAAAGTAATATACTCCATTTCAATAGAAGATACGTTATTGTAATGATTTCTATGTTGTATGGAACTTTTTATTACATTTATTATATTACTTTTAAATCATTGCAGGATTATCTGTTAATAAAATATTAATTTTGCATACAATTAAAAGCCTTTAATATGTAGTTTACTTGTTTATAGATTAACCTCTGTTTATAGCTTTTAACTCAAATAGTTTTATTTAGAGTTGAACATTTTTAATAATTGGGGTGGTTGTTTCAAAACAACACCTGTTTTGAATTACATTTACTTAAATTTTTTTTTCTTTTAATGCTCTTTGTCTCAAGTCATCTGTTGGTTACTGCAACACATATGTATTGTTTAAGGGAGATTGTTTCACGGAAAGGATTGGCTTATATACAGTCTCGACAAGCGCTGAATTCTGTAGTTAAAATTACATCCAAAAAAAAACATCCTGAACTCATTACCTTCAAGTATGGAAATAGCAGTGCTTCAGGAATAGAAATCTTGGCAATTGAAAGGTAAGATTTTCCTTAGGATGATATTACCTGAATTACTGCAGTTCACTATAAAGAGTTTGTTTCTCTATTTTGGGGAATGGATGGTGGAATAGGATAGGTGAACCACTTTTAGTGTTTCTTATTATCTCTTCCTCCCCAGTCCTTAGCCATATGTGGTTTAGCCATTAGCACATGATTTGAGTAAGTGCCATAGCAAATTTCATAAAGTTTCTGACCCAATGATCCTTATTGTTAATCTACACCAGTGCTGCACTAATTGCTGGCTTGCAGTGAAACAAGAAACTTGTTTTAGAGTATGTCAATATTTTTATTTTCCTTCACAGAAAAGTTCTTGTTTTGACAAACTGTCAGTGAACTAAGCAGTGTGCTGGGTGATACAGGTAATTCACAGCCTGGTACAAGCCCCCCCCTTTATCTCATTGTGGGTCACTAACAGTTCACAGACTGGCCCAAGGGCTGTGGACCACACTGATATTGATACTAAACCATTTTTAAATCTATAGATAAAAATATGAAGCCTAGAGTGGTTGAATGACTTCCCAGATCCTGACACTTAGTTTGTGACAGATCCAAATATAGCCTTCCTGACTCCTGATTTGTGGTTTATTCCACCTTGCATCAGTTCAAGTTGTTCCCCTCCTGAGATTTAGGATTACACTTCTTGTTTACAGGAGTGCTTGGATAAAGAGTAAGCTTAAGGTAATATCGGAGCACTTTTAAATAATCAACTTCAATTGGAAGGGGAAATTATTCAGTTTCTTTGATCTTGTACTGACAGGTAGCAAACATCATGAATCTGTACTGTTTTATGTACTTTGTTAAAAGAAAATAATACCCGATTTGTAAAAAAAAATCACTTTGTGGCTTTATATAAGAATAAATATTTACATAGTGATATTTTCAATTGATAAAAATGTAAAGAATATGTCATTCTACTTCTCTGTTAACACATTGATGAGTATCATCTCAGATTTTTTAAATGCATATGTTATTTATTAAAAACTAGATAAATGTGATACAGGCTTGTTTTTGTGTGCTGATTTTTTAAGAAAACAGTATAGTGTGCTATATTTACATTTTAATAAATATAAATTTTTTTTTTTTTTTTTTTTTTGGAGACAGAGTCTCTCTCTGTTGCTCATGCTGGAGTGCAGTGGTGTGCGATCTTGGCTCACTGCAAACTCCGCCTCCCGGTTCACGCCATTCTCCTTGCCTCAGCCTCCCAAGTAGCAGGGACTACAGGCGCCCACCACCACACCCGGCTAATTTTTTGTATTTTTAGTAGAGGCAGGGTTTCACCGTGTTAGCCAGGATGGTCTCGATCAACTGACCTTGTGATACACCCGCCTCGGCCTCCCAGAGTGCTGCGATTACAGGCATGAGCGACCGCGCCCAGCCCAATAAATATAAATTCTTAACTTTTTAATGGTAGATATTCTGTTATAAGGATTTCTCAGATTGATTTAGCAAGCCTCATGTTGATTGGCATTTACATTATTTCATATGTTTCACTATTAATCTTCTAGTGGGCCTTTAAAAAAATGTATATTTACATAGTTGTCCAATTCATCTTCTCAGGATAAATTCCTGCAAGTAGGTTCAGTGGGTCTCTCAGGTATACACATTTTAATATCTACTGATAAATTAATTTTAACCAAAGGATATTTGAATTATGACTTTGTCATGTATAGTAAAAGTTGAGAATTATGTTTGAAAGGCTTTCCCATAAATTTTGCTAAATAAATTGAAGTTTATTATATATAGATCAACATCTTTTTTTAAATTCAGAGTTGTGGAAGATAGTCTTAATAGTGGAAGATAAAGTAACTAGATTCTCCCTCTGCCTTTCTTCATTGATATTTATGGTTCTTTATTCTGCCTTGCATATGTAACATTTACAGATGATTTATACAGTGGAATTGTTAGGTTTTACAGAAAATGCTTTAAAAAAACCAAACAAAAAAAACACTATTTTTATTCTCCAAGAAAAGAAAATGGACGTTTAATCTATGGTGTTAATATTTTGTAATAGTTATCATATGTCTTGTCTTTTTTAAATATTTCAGACTTATAACACCATTTTATTATGTACATAACCCTCTGTAAAGTTTGGATAACTACACCTATTTTTTATGTAGGAATCTGTTTTGGTGAACTTAAATTACTTGCTTAAAGTCAAACTATTAAGTATTGGAATTGTCATTGTCTTTGGAATTGGATACCAACAATTCATATGTGATTTTTGTAGCTAATTGAAGGTACATCTGTATTGGTGTGTGGAATATTATATTTTTTATCTTGTGTTTTATCTAGCTATTACCTATATTTAATAATGGCTCAAAGAATTTTAGCTTTACACTGTATGAAAAATCACATTGCCTTTGCATTTAGGTTTTCTCTCTTTCAAAATAAGCTTTGGATTATGTTCAAATAAGCTATGGGAGTACATAGGAGGCATTTCTGCTGGCTTTGTGGGTTACGGAAAGCTTCCTATTGGAGGCGACCTATCAGCTGAGTCTTGAAGGGAAAGCAATGTATTAATATATATATGTGTGTATATATATGTATTTTTTTCCCTCCCCTTAGGTATTTGATTCCAAATGCAGGGGATGCTACTAAAGCCATAAAACAGCAGATCATGAAAGTTTTGGATGCTTTGGAAAGTTAATATAAAAGAAAATTATTTAAAAAGAAATTAAGACAACCAAGAGAAACATGGACATATACTTCCTGGTGAATACTAACTGGAGACCTTTCATTTGCTCATGGGGCTGCTTAAATAGCACGTCTGAGAAAGCGTAAATTATTATAATCAATCTGTGGACAGTAAACTTTTTAAAAATGTTTCTTTTGCATTTTGGTTTTATAAAATGATGTATTATAAAGGTCAGTTATTAAATTACTTTGATGTAACTGACCCTGTGCCCTTATGGGCTAAGTAAGGATACAGAATGCAGTTCTGTTTTGAAGAGCTGTTTTAAGGGAACATGCATCACTTTCGGGTTCAAAAACAGCTATACACGTACATATCTGCAGTGTCTTCACTGAAAATTAGAGATAGAATTAGTTGAGGAGACTTCCTTAATTGCTAGATTGTTTTACCCACTGAGCAATATCAGAAACTAAGAACATAAATAATTCACTCACTGTTTCTGTTCTTAAGAAGAGTGAAATCTTTTTAATGGAATGGTTGAAGATTCCTGCCAACTCAAAATACAGTACAGCTAGTAAAATGTTGAAACATCATTTTCTAAATCACCTTTGCTCCATTGGCTAATTATTTGGACACTAAATGCTTCAAAGATAAGAAACTTCATCCTAATGATTCTAAAGAGCAGTTGAAAGCATTAAAATAAGTAGGTAGGCTGTTAAGATTAACATTTTGGGGACAGAATTGTGTCTGTAAAAATGTCGTTGGTTTTTATTACAAGTAGATTATTTGATTTATATTTTAAAACAAGTGTTTAAGCCACATTGATTTGTCCTCATTGGGGATTATGGTCTGTAACCACAGTAATATCCACTTATATAAATGCCAAATAATCAGAGAGCTTATAAAGTACAATTGTTTTTGTCATCATTTTCTGAATTTCTTTCCCTTCTTTTGGTTTTATCCTCTCATTGAAGTTCCAGTGGTTTGAATTTATTTTTGGACACATTGTCTTAATGTACTGAAAATTGCTCTGCTGTATTTTGCAGAGTTCTTCATTTCATGTATAGTGGTCCATATTAGACACATTTGGTAAGAGAAATCCAGGAACACATTTAGGGCCATGGAATGATATTTTGTAAAATCCATTTGGGAAGTTGCAATACCCACAATCTGACATGTCCTAAAATGTAATGGATTATCTCTAAGGGGTTGATGGAAGAAATATTTAGATGTACCTGGTTAACAGCCAGTCATTTTGATTTACTTATGGAAATCAAGTGAATAGAAGGCAACATAATTCAGGAAATCTTATTCTAATATCTAATAGAAACAGTTTGAGTGGTTGAAGACATCTGCATGAAATTGCACCTGGGTGCATTATTTGGTATAACTCTCCCCTAAAACTGTCGTATTGCATTTTTCCCTTTTCTTGGCACCCCTTTAGAAATGTGCTGAAGTCTCATTTTTCACCCATTTCAGCCATGGGACATTTTTCATAATATTAATGTAAAGATGTTTGTGTTACTGTTTATAAATTACAATTGTAAATAAATTAATACAGTTTGCTCAAAACTTTGTTCTTAAAGACACTGTCTTTCTCTTTCTTTTCCCTATTTGCAAATCTCTTAAGACCGCAAAATTAAAGAATTGAAGGCATTTAGTAAGTTACCTACTACCATGAACTACACAGTTACAGGATTATTTATGACTATTAAACGAAAATACATTTCATTGAATGTTCTAGGCACTTGTGTAGCTCATCCTCCCTTCACTGGCCCACTGACCACAGAGCTGGGAATCACTCTGGGGTGGCCACCTCTCATGGGCTTTCATGATTGCACAGGTTGCAACTTTAGGAGGTTGTTATTTTTTGTATTTTCAAGAGAAGGAAACCAAGGCTCAAAGAAATTGAGTGAAAAGAGAAAGTATTCCTCTTATCTCCACACTCCCTGGAAATTATTTTTGTCTATGAAGGTATACAGTTATTTCTCCTGTGTAGGATTGATGCCATTTGCTCACCATTAATAAAACTTGGTCATTATGATAAATTTGTATTGACATACTCAGCTGTATTTGTCATTGTGTTTCACACAGGACCTTTAACTCTTTAGCATGATACTCTGACATTAGACTAACCAGCCATAAATTGGCAGTCCTAGTTAAAATTGATAGTTTGATGTGGGGGACCCCAACCCTGTAGGTTGAATGAGTAATGAATGTAGTATCTCAGTTTGAACATTAACATCTTGAACTTAACATATTTATTGAGGTATTCACATGCCTTAAAGTTCCCCCTTTTCAGTAGTTATTGGAATATCCATAGAGTTGTGCAACTCTAGTTCTAGAACATTTCGTCACCTCAGAAATACAGAACAAGTCTATACCTGTTAGTAGTCACTCTCCTTTCCTCTTCCCTCCAACCCTTACCAAGCACCATTCTACTTTCTGTCTCTGTGGATTCCGGACATTTCATTATAAAAGGAATCATACATTGCCAGCTTTTTTCACTTAATATACATATTTTGTTTTTCTAATTTTTAAATCACATCTAATTCTTCAAAACATATATATATTTTTTGGGTGGGGGGCAGTGAATGGAGTCCCACCGTGGCACCCAGGCTGGAGTGGTAAGATCTTGGCTCACTGCAACCTCCACCTTCCCTGTTCAAGCAATTCTCCTGCCTCAGCCTCACAAGTAACTGGGACTACAGGTGTGTGCCACCACACCCGGCTAATTTTTGTATTTTTAGCAGAGACAGGGTTTTGCCATGTTGGCCAGGCTGGTCTCGAACTTGTGACCTCAAGTGATCTGCCCACCTCAGCCTCCCAAAGTGCTGGGATTACAGGCATGAGCCACCATGCCCAACCTCAAAACATAATATTTTAAAGCTTCATTTGCATTGTAGCATGTATCAGAATTTCATTGTTTGTGGCTGAATAGTATTTTATTGTATAGATATAACTCATTTATTCATCAGATGGTGGACATTTGGGTTTCTTCTACTTTTTGGCTTTTATGAATAATGCCCTGTGAACATTTGTGTACAAATTTTTGTGTTATACGTTTTCGGTTCTTTTGGATATTTACCTAAGAGTGGAATTTACTGAATTGTATGTTAATTCCATGTTTAACTTTTCGAGGAACTTCCAAACGATTCCACTTTACTTCCCCACTGGCAATATGAGTGATTTCTCCACTTGCTTGCCAACACTTGTTACTGTGTCTTGTTGATCATAGCGATCCCTAGAGTGGCCACTGGGTACACCCGCAAGTTCACTAACTGGGCAAGGAAAAACAGGTTGCCCATTTTTCATATCAGTGGAGTTTGATGGAAAGAGAGGTACATTTTTGGAGTTAATTGTTATTATGTGTCAGAGACTGGAGAACATTGATTAAGGAAGCATTTTCATTTTCCTGATTGATGAGAAAAGAATTCAGCTATGGTCACTTACCCCTGCTAGAATGTTATGCAGTTTTATGTGGCATGCAGTGTGTTATGTAGTGCTTAATAAAATTTTTTTTTTACCAAGGACTTTTAAGGATCAAGGTCTTAAATCTAAGACCTGAAACTATAAAAATTCTGGAAGATAACATCAGAAAAACCCTTCTAGACACTGGCTTAGGCAAGGATTTCATGACCAAGAACCCAAAAGCAAATGCAATAAAAACAAAGATAAATATTTGGGACTTAATTAAACTAAAGAGCTTTTTTCATGGCAAAAGGAACAGTCAGCAGAGTAAACAACCCACAGAGTGGGAGAAAATCTTCACAATCTACACATCTGACAAAGGACTAATATCCAGAATCTACAACAAACTCAAATTAGCAAGAAAACAATCCCATCAAAAAGCCTGCCCATGGAATACTATGCAGCCATAAAAAAGGATGAGTTCATGTCCTTTGTAGGGACATGGATGAAGCTGGAAACCATCATTCTGAGCAAACTGTCACAAGGACAGAAAACCAAACACCGCATGTTCTCACTCACAGGTGGGAATTGAACAGTTAGAACACTTGGACACAGGGTGGGGAACACACACCGGGCCTGTCATGGAGTGGGGTGAGGGGGAGGGATGGCATTAGGAGAAATACCTAATGTAAATTATGAGTTAATGGGTGCAGCACACCAACATGGCACGTGTATACATGTGTAACAAATCTGCACGTTGTGCACATGTACCCTAGAACTTAATATAATATTAATATTTGGGTTCTTAAGTATAATAAAAAATTCAGGGCATATAAACAGTAAAATTGTGTTCTACCACAAAAAAAAAAAAGTGTGCTAAGAACATGAATAAACAATTCTCAAAAGAAGATACACAAATGGCCAAAAACATGAAAAAATGCTCAACATCACTAATGATTAGGGGAACGCAAATCAAAACCACAATGTCATACCATCTTACTCCTCCAAGAATGGCCATAATCAAAAAATTAAAAAATAATAGATATTGGCATGGATGCTGTAAATAGGGAATGCACCTATGCTGCTGGTGGGAATGTAAACTAGTACAACCACGGTGGAAAACTAGAGATTCCTTAAAGAATTAAAAGTAGAACTACCATTTGATTCAGCAATCCCACTGCCGGGTATCTCCCCAGAGGAAAAGAAGTCATTGGCTGGTCGTGGTGACTCACATGTGTAATCTCAGCACTTTGGGAGGCTGAGGCAGGTGGATCATCTGAGGTCAGGAGTTTGAGACCAGCCTGGCCAAAAAGGTGAAACCTGTCTCTACTAAAAATGCAAAAAATTAGTTGGGCATGGTGATGGGTGCCTGTAATCCCAGCTGTTTGGGAGGCTGAGGCAGGAGAATTGCTTGACTGCAGGAGGTGGAGGTTGCAGTGAGCTGAGATCACGCCATTGCGCTCCAGTCTGGGTGACAGAGCAAGATACCATCTCAAAAAAAAAAAAAAGTCATTATAAGAAAAAGATAACTTGCACATGCATGTTTATAGCAGCACAATTTGCAATTGCAAAAATATGGAACAAGCTCAAATGCCCATCAATCAACAAGTGGAGATATATATATGTATATATATGATGGAATACTATTCAGTCATAAAAAGGAATTAATGAATGGCATTCACAGAGACCTGGATAATATTGGAGACTATTATTCTAAGTGAAGTAACTCAGGAATGGAAAACCAAACATCATACATTCTCGCTCATAAGTGGGAGCTAAGCTATGAGGATGCAAAGGCATAAGAATGAGACAATGGAATGTGGGGACTCAGGAGGAAAGAGTGGGAAGGGGGTGAGGGATAAAATACTACAAATTGGGTGCAGAATGTACTGCTCAGGTGATGGGTGTACCAAAATTTCACAAATCACCACTAAAGAATTTACTCATGTCACCAAAGACCACCTGTTCACCAATAACCTATGGAAATAAATAAAATGAAAAAAAAAAAGACCCCCACAAATAATGGGCAGTTGTTTTGAGCAAAGTTTCAAAGGCAATTCAATTGAGAAAGGGTAGTCTTTTCAACATATGGTGTTGGAACAACTAGATACCCATATACAAAGAAATTAACCTCACCCTTTATATCTCAAACCTTATACAAAAATTAACTCAATGGATCATGCAGCTAAATGTGCAATGTAAACCTATAAAACTAATAGAAAACAGGAGAAAATTTTCATGATTTTGGGTGAGGCCATAGTTGTTAGACATATGAAAAGCACAATCCATAAGAATGAATCACGTCTATAATCCCAGCACTTTGGGAGGCTGAGGCGGGCAGATCACGAGGTCAGGAGTTAGAGACCAGCCTGACCTGCATGGTGAAACCCCCTCTCTACTAAAAATACAAAAATTAGTCGAGTTTGGGGGTGTGCGCCTGTAATCCCAACTACTCGGGAGGCTGAGGTAAGAGAATTGCTTGACTCCGGGAGGCAGAGGTGGCAGTGAGCCGAGATCGCACCACTGCACTCCAGCCTGGGTGACAGAGCGAGACTCCATCTCAAAAAAGAAATTAATTAAAAATAAATTTAAAATTTTTGCTCTGCAAAAGACACTTAATAGAAGGGAAAGACAAGCTACATACTGAGGGAAAATACTGTACTTGCAAAACATACCAACAAAGGATTTGTGTTCAGAATATATAAAAATTTTCACTACAACAATAAGAAAACAAAACAATGGGGAAAAGAAGCATTTCTTCAGAGAAACATGGGTGGCAAATAGGCATGTGAAAAGATCATCATTAGCTGTTGGGGAAAAGTAAATCAAAACCACAAGGAGCTGCTACTACACATCAGTTAGATTGGCTAAAATTAAAAACAAAAAATGACAATACCGAGTGCTGGTGAGGATATGGAGCAACTAGAACATTCATACATTGCTGGTGGGTGTACAAAGTGTTACAGACACTCTAGACAACAGTTTGGCAATTTCTTACAAAGAAACATACGTTTACTATACAACCCAGCAATCCCTCTCCTAGGTATTTACCCTGGGGAAATGAAGACTTACATCCACGCGGAAGAGTTCATGGTCATAACTGCTCTACTGTGCCACCTGTTTGCTGTTTGCTGTCCTGGAAACAGTAGGCCAGA